GCCCAACTTTTTCAAGTTGCGTCGGAGATTTTGGAAGGCTGTTTTTATCTGTCTAAATCTCAGCCATCGTTCGATAGTTAGCGAAGTTTTGTATTAAGAATCGTTCTATGGTGATTACAGAACAATTTTTTGGCGTTATTTTAAAATTGTTTGCCTGTGGAATGTTTTTACGTGGATTTACTGTGTCCTCTTATCAGCGACCGTTGTAATGGCAGAGTTAATGACGGCTACTCCACAATGAGTGATGGAATCTTTGATGGAATCTTCCCTATAGTTCACAGGACCTTTCTATTGAGTTATTTTAGAGGCTGCTGGCTCTTGGATTTTTCTTGTACTCAAAGTATGTGGACATATAATGAAGCGGCTATCGAGTTGGCGGCGGCCGTTTTTTGTAAACGATTACAAGAGCATCAGGCCATGAGTTTCGTAACGCAACTAAACTCCTGGCGAAGGAAACATTCTCTTAAATTCGGCTAGATTCCTTCTTGTATTTATCTCGATTCACGGCAAAGATAAACACGACCGTTTGCTCGTCCAGATTGTTCTCAACGGACTTAGAGAGGCACCTTAGTACGAGTTAGATCCTGTAAATGTCATGTTTTTGAACTGTTTGTGTTCGAGCATAATTTTGGAAAATAGCATAGTTTACTTTCCTTTTTTATCAACAGACTGCTTATAGTGGAGTAGTATACCAATGATGCTGGGTTCTGTTTTTCTCGACGTCCCAGTGATTCGGCACGATCGAACAATTTTGCGCGATAATGTATGTTTCCCTAAGATCAAAACAAAGACTTGGTCTCTTGTTCTATCAGCATCTAAATTATAAAATCAGTAGCGACAGAGAAGTCTAATTGTTAATGATTTGAAACAGTCTTGGTCTTTATCTTCGGTCTAGCGTCTTTTGTAGCTCGTTTGTAAAATACAACTTCCATTTATTTTGTTGAATAAGACAATATGTTGTTGTTGAATTTTTGTTTGCGCTCTATTTTATGAATGGCATGCGTTTTTACTTCAAAACTACAAGTAAAATTGTCGTCACAATTTTATTCTTGATCTAGCATAACCAGAGAAGAAACGTTCCATAAATTCTATCGAAATATCCCTTATCCAAACCCATTTCGCTTGTTAACCTCTCTAAATTCGGAACCTTGGACGTGACAGAGAGCATAAAGAAAGTCACGCGTTAATTCAAAACAATAGAATTTTGACAGTTGAAAGTAAAATTTGCATAACCTCAGAGCGCACATGAAGAAAGTCACGCGTTAAAAACAATAGAATTTTGACAGTTGAAAGTAATTTGCATAACCTCAGAGCGCATGCTCTCCAGCTGACATAGCCCCTTTAAATACGGCATTTGATTCAAATTTGAATTGAACTCACTGAACTCAGTCGAATTTAACTCTCTTCGCTGTCAATATTCCCAGTAATATAATAATAATTTACTAAAATTCATTCATTAAGTTCGGCACATGTGAAATGCGACGTTTGAATCACAAGTCGAACCAAAGTCGAATCTTCGACTGTTTCAGTCGCAGATACGGCAAACGTTGCATTTAAAGGGACTGGTTCACGATAATGCGCATGTGTGAGTTCTGACAGTAGCTGATTGTTTTTCAACCAATCGGGAGCGAGTTAGATGCACGCAAGTAAATTTACAAAATTCAAATTAATTGTTCGCGACGCGAGAGTATTTCCGGGCATTTGGGTTGATTTTATTTATCCCCATAATTCAAGTTTATTCTTTGCTACTCCTCAGACATATGTTGCAGCCGATAAGAATAAAATTTACAGCCCTGTCCTGCTTTGAAACAAACATTTACCAACGTGTATTTTTACGAGGTCGTACCCACGCTAACAAAGCAGTCACCGATCGGCAAACAAAATTTGTAAACAAACATCTTATTACTGTTCTCTCAGTTCGCCTTATATAAACCCAGAAATACCTACAAATAGCGCCTGACCGGTGACAAAAACACACAACGTATGAGTATAAAGATTATCCTTAATTGCGCATAAATTTCAATTGCTTGTCAGCAAATGAAATGAACAAATTCATTCGCGTTGCATCGGGTCAGTGTTCCGCAAAACAAATGTTATCGAGTAGCACACATAAAGAAACTAGATTATAAACAGATAGAATACTCAGGCAATAATTTATTTTAAAAACATCAATTCTTAAACATATACGATCGTAAAGCAAAGATACAAGGAACATTTCAAGTGTACCAGATCGGTGAAGATCGCGCGGCCTGTTGCGGTATAACTACAGGTCGAAGTCAAAAATCAAATCAAAGTTGAACGAACTCATGCCTTTAACCACTTTCCAAGTGTCATGTATTCTTTTCGTAAGCCACACACTACTCCTAGAACCATTCCAGATCGATAGGCTAAGCTTCTCTATCTCCAAAGACTCTTGAGAACGTCCTGTTGCCGAACGGCCACGATGCTATTCTGAACCTCCATGATCAAAACATTATTTTTTACGTCTTCTTAGAACGTAACCAGTCAAACGACACAACCACACGTTAATCACCACTACCGAAGTATAACTAGACCAGCCAAAGCGACGGATGTCCGAATAAAACGAAGGATTTTCAATGATTGTACCGGTAATGGCGATTTCGAATTTAGTGTTGACCCAACAAATTATTTTGAAGAGACAAACGGCGCGCATGCGCATTATCGTGAACCAGTCCCTTTAATTTACATAAACAGTCGAATTTAATTGATTCAAACGTCGCACTTCACATCCATTTAACTCTCGCGTTAAGTTCGGCACATGTGAAATTCGACGTTTGAACCGGGCCTTAACTACAAACAATGAGTATTCAGGCAGAGTACGAGTGGCAAGCTTCAATCCGATGTGACAAGAGAGATATACGCCTTTGAAGTTCTGTTAATTTCGCGGGTGTAAAAAATTCAAAAAGTAAACCCACCAAAGTTTAATCGATCATATCGTTGCGAAAACGTTATCAATTTCGAAGTAGTTTCTAAAAATACAATAAAGAGGGATAGTTCTTTCAATTTGTATCGGCAAAGAAAGATTAGCTTTGAAGACACAGAAGACAGGGTTGTAGTCGAAGGCTCAAAAACATCTGCTATTAACCAATATGGCGCCGGTCCGAGGCACCCAAAAACCGGCCATGGCGATAATTTCCGAAATAGGAGGAATTAAAACCTAAACTTTCCTATTCCTTATTAAAGACCCCAAATCAAGTCTACATGCCAAGTTTCAGCCAATTCGGTAAGATAGTGTGGCAGCGACTCTTCAGTATATAGTTCGAATCTTACAGACAACTGCTCTTACAGCTGAACGAGGAATAACATCACGGGAATGTTTGTCATTCAAAGAGACGCAAATATTCAAGTGGCCGCCGGTATTCTAAGGTTTTAATAACCATAGAAAGAGTATAAACACGAGCTTAAAAGAGTACAGTGAGCGCAGGGAGTGACATTAATTTCTCATGCATCAACAACTCGGTCGTATTAAATAGACCTTGTCACGGTTTTCGACGCCATCTTGACGAGTAGGCAAACGCGTGAGAAATTACAGTGTTTGTATGAGAATCTAATGTCGAATAATTTCTGTGGAACGGCTGTTCTGAAAAAAAATATATACTGTAAACTAAAGCTCCACGCCTAAGGATTCTCCTGAAAAAATTTGAGGGCGTTACATGCACTAGAAGACCTAGAACCACTTTTTAAAAATTTTCTATACATTTGTCTGTAAGAAACTCCCGGGAAAATTACAGACAAATATATGGAAAACCTAAAGCAAGCCTCTGGAGAAATTTAAGCACAGGTACGCGACCCAATTTTTTTAGGACAATCCTTTGCTTTGTAGCTTTAGTTTACAATAGATATTTTTTTCAGAACAGCCGTTTTACGGAAGTTATTCGACATTAGATTCTCATACAAACACTGTAATTACTCACGCGTTTGCCTACTCGTCAAGATGGCGTCGAAAACCGAGACAAGGTCTATACCATAACCACGCACTTTCAAGTTCGCGTTCAAACTCAAATATTAAACCACGGAACGAGTATAAGCGAGAGCAGGAAGTGAGATTTTTCAAACTGCAACAACTCAGTCGTATTTTAAAATACCATAACCACGCACTTTCTACGAAGTATTCTATATGTAATATACAACTCTTACCTCTTGATCTGAGGAAGAAAGCCTTTGATGAATTTCGTCTTAATATGTTGATTTTTATGCTTTCTTTCTCGGAAAACTTTCCTCTGCGGTTGTCCCTAAATATACATACCGGTCAGAAGGACAGCCGAGAGGTACTGGAGACGACTTCATGATTCGGCTGCAATATTGTACCCAGAGTCTACAGGCTTTCTGGACAGCGATGATCGATACTGAATTACGTGGTTCGACGACAGAGGTGAAAAGCTTCAAGATGAGTTGTTCAGCGCTAAACTTGTTCATCTTGACTTTCAAAACTGATATAACATCATTCGTCCGTCGACTTTTGAAAACCAGACTTGCGGTTTAGGATAATACAAACATCGATTCTCGGAAACTACGGTAGCTTCCGCCAGGATCCCATAAAGCTTCCGCTCATACCCAATCGCCAATGAAAATGCTACATGTCTGAAATAAGTATCTGTGTTTTCCGGCTAGATGTTTGACGCTGCTGAATTTTTGTGCGATGACGTTACTCTATGGGCCAAATTGTTTGTTTATAAACAACAACAATTTGTAAAGTTTCGTCCTGATTTGTAGTATACGTAGAGTGAAATGTACGAACCGTATGTCATTACTTAATCTTGCCCGCCGCGCGCGTTCCTGATACCCTGTCGGGTCGAGAGGAAATCATTTGTGTTGTGATGAATGCCGTTGCTGCGGATGTAATGTTTTCACAAGTATTATCAATAGTGGAAAAAGGATGGAAACACTAAGGTACGATGAAAATTGTTCTGGCAAATGGTTAACTTAAGCGAATGAAGTACTTCAGAGTAACGGAGTGGACATGCATTATTTTTGACATTGACTTGTGCCGTTAGTGAAAGGACGTGGACAATATGCAGGTTATGAACCTCAACTGAAATGATGGGCCAGCCGTTTGTGCTATGCCCTATATTTAGATGGGTTTTTTTTTGCAGACCTTTTCAAACCTTACTGATCGAAACCTTTAGCGTAGGTAGGCGTTGAACAGGTTAGACCAGGTTAGGAAATGTACTTTTGTAATGATTTTAGATGACCGCCTGCCATTTATTCAGTGGCATCATTTTTTATTGATGTTGGATGGACAACTATTTCATCTCCCAGCTCGTAAATCACAGAATGCCAAAGAAATTGTTTTCAAGATAGACACACCAATTTGTATCATCGCCAAAACAGCAAATACTTTGGCCCAGAAGTTCACCTGATGACAAGGAAAACGGGATAACACGTGATCGATGACGGCCGTGCGCTGGAAAATTTTCCTTTTTTATGCGCTAATTCCTCGCAAAAGGCAAAAGAAGATTCCGCTATGTAGAAAGTGCTTGGCAATACGTATTCTTTGCGAGAAAAATTCCAGCGATGTGGTGCAAATAAGGAGTTTCAACGCTTAACCACGAGAATACACATCGACATTAAGAGGTCATAACAGACTAATGTTACTTTCCGTTTGCCGAAACGTGGTTAACCGTTGTAACACGAAGGAAGCAGTGTTTTTCTCAGTTTGAGCTGTCGTTTTGTTTGGGAGTCAAATACCAGTTCACGTTTCAAAGCTCTCTTTTCATTTTCTCTGCCGACAATAGACAAAAACACAAGGTTTTGCTTGAGAAATGCAGTCCAAATACACAGACATATGCGCTTATGTCACGCTATTTGCGTTGCGTTATCATGTCACACGGGGTGTCACGAGGTAGGATTGACAGTAATTGTTTTCGTGTACACTTGCAATGTTTGCTACGCTGCTGTCCTTAGTTTTTTTATTGAATTGACCATGGATTTACCTTCACTTTTCCGTTGTTTCGATATTGAATGCATTGACGGCCGCTCCTCACTAACGCTCCATATTTCCGTGGCCGGCCAGTGGCTATCCCACTAAGTGTCAATCCTTACCCTACCCGTGACTGTCTGCGCCTTAACAATCGGGTAAAGTTAGGAACGAGAAATATTCACTTTATTGAAAATATTGTCAGTACGCATACCCTTGAAATTGTAACGCAAGACAGGTTGGTTAGACGGAACAGGATCCACTTAAGACCTAATGAGCCTCAGGTCCCATGTGACCCACAACCCTTGCCAGAACAACCAGTAATAGATAGTGGTGTGGATGTCGGAAATTCTGCGGAAACCATAGTGCCTAACCCCACTTCAGAGTCCATGGATGAGAATTCACTTCCACCAGTGCAAACCTCGCGTTATGGCCGGCCAAAGAGACTGGACCTTTGAAACTGGAGACTGGAGTGCAGTATGGTACTCGATGTTGACTATTATCTGACACTACCTGTTCACATTTGATTGTGTTAATGACTTATTACGTTTTTTTTATTATTATTTTTCGAAACATATTAACATGTTAATAGTTTTCTTTGAAAGAGAGGATGTTGATAGGAGACAATTCTGTCGTTGTATCATAGGGGTCAGCGGTGTTCCGCGTGGGCCGTATTGTATGTGTAAAACGAAGATGGCTGCATGTGCTTTGAGAATAAAGTGTTGTGTTCTGGAAAGTTGTTGTTCCTTTGATGGAAGCTTTCCCAGCCGGTCAACAATTTCCTTGCCTCGCGGTTCATCTTGTAGTACATCTTGTATGGTAAACATAATTATAGCAAGGTTTTAAGTTTATAAGCTTATACTTACCTTACTCATGATTTTTAAAGACACTTTACTCTCAATATTTGTCTTCGTGAATGAAAATTGTTGTCTCTGTACATGTTTCACCGAATTATATTTATTTTATTGCTTGTTAGTAGTCTCGCAATTTTAATCGATGAACCGGTTGTTCTCAGTCGAACATATAAACATCGCATGCTAACCTGAGATCAGGGGTCCGTGCACGGTTCGTCCACTCAGAATTTTATATTTTCTATTTTCTATTCAAAAACAGAAAAACGCGAGTCACACCCTTATTTTCCTTTTCCTTTTTTAAAAATCTATTGATGCAGAACCTTAATTTATGTAAAACACATCGTTTTATTGAATTGTTAGTTAAGATCACCTATGTCTATTTATATACGTAAGAAAAACGTCAAAATCTTCAAACTTTAACAGAATTGTAGAAATGACGTTCAGTTTAATTCTAGCCTAGAAAAAAAGAAAAAAGAAAGTCATTTACTTTCTTTTCGTTTTTCGTTTTACTAACAAACAAATACAAAAACCGAAAAACGAAAATCTACCTCCGTTTTCCGTTTTATTTGCTAAAAAAAAAAAACCCGAAAACCAAAATCTACTTCAATCCGTTTTTCGTCTTATTTGCAGTCCAAACTAGTTCTTGTTTTTCATTTTAGGTAACGGTTCATGAGGTGGGGGCCGGGGGGAGTGGCTTGAGCCAAATCACAGGGGGTGGTTAGGGGACACCACCCTTTGTAGCCTGCGAAGGGAAGCTCTTCCCCGGGGCGCTCCGGAACCCCGGATGACGGGTCGGGGACATAAGCAATTTCAGCGGGAACTTTTGACTAGTAAGAGACCCTCTTAGGTTGAGCTCTTTATGTCAATGTCGCTGATTGGCTGCAAAACTTTGAGAGCGATTCTTGCGCGATACTCAGTTTACATCTAATCTTGGAGGACTATAAAGTTTAGGTGGTCGATTAAAATTAACTACCATTTTTGGCGCCATTTGCAGAAAATAGTTTTTATCTTTTTTCAACTAAAAACAAAACAGTCTGCCCAGTGGCCGTTCAACTCAGAAAACCGTGAACACCTCAAAATTTTCAGGAATGTTGATTGTGTACTGGGCAATCACAATAAAGTTCAGGACACGCGAGCAAACCTCGAAACCACAAACTAATTACCGTTGCTGTTTGCCGTTTACTTATCTCGCGCCTTATTGGCTTAATTCTCGCAACACAATAACATTCCATAAATATTTCTGGTGTTCACTGATTTGTGAGTTTCACAGTAACTTCTTTAGAGATTAAAGGAGATCTTGGGTAAGACTAATCTGCGGAACTGTAGACCGCGGAACCGGCGGAGCCTAAGGAAATTACTGTTTTTATTACAACTACCTTTGGCTAACGTGATACAATAATTAGTTACAATTAATTATAACACTGATAGACTGTTCACAGTGCCCTATTTTCCCTTAAGATCGTCAAGATCGAGCACTCACCGTCACTGGCAGCCATTTTGTAATTGATTTCAAATGTACCGAGAGGGCGGGCGTCGGGGTTCCCGACCGATTTTTCTCTCAAGCAGGACAGGAGAATCAAGAATAATTCCATTAACATTTTACCTATTGTCATTAAGGAAAAAGAACAGCACAGTCGTTTGAATACGCGACCATATGTGCGGGGATTTGGAGTTTGATTCCCGGGTGCGGAACCTTCACCTTTACCACGGAAAGATAAAAATTTCGAGAAAAACTACCAAAATGATATATTTTATTCTTCATTTGTGAACGGTTTATGGCGCCTATGAGACGTACATTGCGGACCCAACATCGCCGGGCTCTATTACAGTAACGAAAACAGTGCCATGCGTCAAAGTTTGATCACGTTTACTAGTTAATTTGCATATTGTGTGTTCTTTTCTAACAATCCATCGAGTTAGCCATCTCAAGAAATATCATGCCCATAGGTTAAAAGTAATGCAGTTTTTTCTGCTTATACCAAGGAATGTCAAATTAACAGTCTTTATCACCTTTATGATCCTTTTACGTTGGCGAAAACGTCTCAATACCACAGGTAAATGGAGATTAGTCAACTGCACAGAACAAACAGAATAACTAGACCCAGGTAACTAGACTGAACCATTGTCAAGGTTGGCACAAGTAAGGTGAAACCTACCGCAGACTTCCCTACAGTGATAGATTAAATATTTTCAAACTTAAACTTGAAGAGGAACGAAATAATGGAAAGGAAATAAAGCGATACAAGACGTAACTGTTTATCGTGCCAATGTGGTTTTAGCAGTTGAAACCGCCGCGTATCCAATGAAAGTTATTCGACAAAGCCTCCACTTCTATGACACAAGCGTCTTTCCTTCCTCAGACACGAGAATAAACATCCAGGTGTATATTCGACCTTCTTAAACAGACAACGACAGTCTCCACACGTATCAGACGAATTTCATCGTACTTTTCTTCCGCCTCAGACTTCCTTCAATAGTGCCTCTTCTCATCTTGGTCGTCTCTTGTGTTTTGTCTTCTTCTTTCTCTTTTGTTTTATAAGAGCCAAACTTCCAAACGCTAGCAAGAAAATAAAAACTAGTCAAATTAAAAACATTAAAACTCTCAGTGATTTTGTTACAAATAGTTATGGTGACTCCATCATCTTGTGAAAAATCACGAGTCCCTGTTCGGAACCAGTGACTCACAGTTGAAAAAAATAAGGAGTCCTATATTTATAGCACAAAAAAGACTAAAATAAATACGCATCTTTAAACAACAGCCACAGAAATCACACGAACAGGATATTCTTCCAAACAATCTTCAAATCGATCGATCGCTCCATGCAAAATCTTGAAGAAAAGTTTTAGAACTCCGAAATTTGTTTGGACCTACTACAAACACTGAAAAAAAATTATGTAACTTACCAAATTCGTTTGCACCTTCAACAGAGTGACCATAAAATTAACTTTTTACAAACTGTGCAAGTCAAACTGAGCAAAATGTATTCCTAGATTTTCGCGAAAAAGTCGGCTTCTTGCTATAAAAATCCAAATGTCGCTGCAACCGAGTTGTCAGTGCCGTAGCCAGACCAAACGGCCAACCGAGGCAGGGGGGAGTTGCTAGGGGGGTTCGGGGGCATGCCCCCCCCCCCCCGAGAAATTTTGAACTTTAGTCTCTCGGAATTGCGATTTGCAGCGTTTTCTGGGCCTTTCGGTAACTTTTTTTCGACTTAATTTAAGTGGAATTTAAAAAGCAATAATCAGAAACAAGCTACATAATCTGGGTGACCTTTAACCTCGCCAATGGTTTTGATCAGTATTTGTTCAAAAAAAATTTGAGTTAACGTACGTAACCCCTTGAGATCGATGATATGGTAATTTTTTCATAGTATATTGACTGAATTGCTGAATTCTTTGTAATATCATGATGCGTTAAAAATATCCGATGATCGCTTATGTAAAATAAAAATGATCGGCGAAATTCGTCAAAATTTTACCGAGGCGAGTGCCTCGGTTGGCCTCATACTAGCTACGGCGCTGGTTGTGTTCGAAAATTGATTTTTTGACTTTCAGCTTTTTTGGGAGGGAGGGATGGAAAGGTGAGACAAAAGTTTGTGGGGCCTCCTGGGAAGTAGCCTGCGCTAGGCATTCAGAATGGAGTGAGGTGTGACGGTCAGAGAGCGGGAAACAATCCCTACCCCACCCCCTCATAGTGTTTTTCTGCTCACATCTTATAGCGCCGTCCCCATAATCAAAACACCTGGAACAGGTTACGAGGTCCTTTTGATGACTGACAAACGTTGATAGAATTCTGGTTTGAAAACAAAAAGGCGCCAACACATGACAGTCTAATAGACCTTGTCTCGGTTTTGGAAGCCATATCGACGATCAGGCAACCGCGTGAGAAATTACAGTGTTGGTGTTAGAATCTAATGTCGAATAATTTCCGTAAAACGGCTGTTCTGAGAAAAATATGGATTGTAAACTAAAGCTTCACTCCTAAGGATTCTACTGAAAACATTTTACAGCGTCACATGTAGCTACCTGCGCTAGAACTAGTTTTTAAAATTTTACATACACTTGTCTGTAAAAATTTTCCTCCTGCCGACTAAAATTTCCAGGGAAGAATTGTAGACAAATATATAGAAAATCTAAAGCAAGCATCTGGAGAAATTTAAGGACAGTATTTGTTAGTGAAATCCTTTGCTGTGTAGCTCAAGTTTACACAGCATTTTTTTTTTCAGAAAAGCCTTTTTACGAAAATTATTCGACATTAGATTCTCATTCATACACTGTAATTTTTTACGTCGTTGCCTACTAGTCAAGATGACTTCCAAAACTGTGACAAGGTCTATTTTCAATCACCAAATCTAAAATCGTGTGGCACTAAATTTTTGCAATTTTTACGGATTTTTTCACCAAAAGAACTTAAGTAAAAAGTTAAATTCACTGCCACTTGGTATGTAAAAAAAACTCACATTTACCCGCTGGCGAATTCTCGTCTCCTGTTGATACATTGGATTCTTCTTCCCAAGATAACCTACAAAACACACGCACAAATGAAGTCCAGGTACAGCTAAACCACTATGCTGAAAATTAACTACAGTTTCTTAAAGAATTAGTCCAGAGAATTTGTTTTAAGATCAGAGCAGTTTCCTTTAAGTGATTATTATAACCTTTACTTTCCGTTACGTATTGATATTATTGGGGAAAATTGACCTTGATCACTCTTGGGACTTGAACTGTAGTATTTAACTCTAGTTATTGACATGATTGGTCAATTGAGTTGTGATGTCATGGACGTAAAATTTAGCCGTGTCTTTATCAGATATAAAGACACTCATTAAACATTAATTTCTTTTGTTTTTTCTTTATGAATTATTAAAGAGTTTTTGAAGATACGTTAAAATGGGTAGAGTATAAAAACAGAGAAAATCTGTAACTAAACGGAAAGAGGAGAAAGGCTAAGAGAAAGAAAGAAAAGGAAAAAGAAAACAGAGAACGTAACAGCAAGAACCTGAGAAGGACAAAGGGAGAAACTGAGGAAGAAAAGAGAGAAGGAACAGGATGAAATGTAAGGTAGAAAACGTGTAAAAACTCAGTCAATTGTAAGTGTCACTTTAAAAATAAATCGTTCTGTCCTTCTGAAAGTCTCTCAACTACTTCACATTGTGGGAGTACGTTCCACATTACTTGTCACTCGCGCAGAACTCGCGGCTCCATACTATCAGGCTCCTCGCAGAGCAGTTAGGGAACGATCCTCAAATTATGGCTTACTAATAAACCACTATAGCAATTAACATATAGGGTACAGGGATCCATATGCCCAGTCGGACGATTAAGATAACTCCGAAAGTCGCCCTTCGGACGAGTGAAGTTTTGCTCAACATCAAAATGCTTTCAAAAATTCTTATACAATTTTATACACTTTCCCTTTTCTCATTACTTCTCATCAACTTAAAACTTTTAGAATAATGGAGGATAACAAGCAGCTTTTGTCTACAATGAAATCGTAAGTTTGGGCTCCATCTTTGATAGTGCAGTGTTTTCTACGAAACGATCGCAGGCTCAGTTTTTGTGAAGTTATGCATTTTGAGGCTATTCGTAGAAAACAAGACAGCACTCATCAAGATGTGGCGTTTTTTAGAAGGCGTTTCGTCGAGTTCGACGGAAAAAAAGGTGAAGCCGGCAGAAGCCGGTGCCTTATACGCATCAAGATGTGATGTTTTTTAGAAGACGTTTCGCTGCCTTCCTTGGAAAAAAAAGGTGACCCAGGAGCCGCTGCCTTATACGGGGGAAAAGGTAAAACGCACCGTATTGCCTTCATGGCAAAACTAACCGACCGTGGCTACTTGTAAAACGTAAATAAACTGTGTTTAGCCTAGGCCTATAGCCTGTAGTACTAAACAGTTTATTCAAAACCCTTTCTTAGTAATTATGACGGAAATTTCATGTCACACCTGTTCAATGTATCTCTTAACGCCTGGCCATCACCGTCTTCATAACTATCAACATCTGAAGAGAAAACATACTTTGCATCAACAAACCTGTTCAACAGCACATCAACACAGAAAGAAGCTCTCATTCCTTACCGATTACGTCATCAGCTTCCAAAGTACCTCTGAAATTAGAGAAGTAAAAAATAAGAGATTATATTTTGAAAAAGTTATGGCACGAATACCTGGGAACAAAAGCAAACGACTTTGCAAACGACAAAGAACAGGATGCTTGTCATGTCAACCTTAACCTGCGTAGCTGCTACTTTTGTTGGAGAGCGTAAGGCGCTCTTTTTTCCCAAACCCTCTTTCGGTTTCGCCGCTCGTTCGCGAACGCATTCTCCACCAAAACCCGTCAGCTTGGCAGGCTAATTCGCTATTTGCCCAACTTCATGATACACCCTGTTTGCCCCCTCCATCCCCCGCCAATTTTTTTTTTCATAGGCATTATCCTCAATTTCTCCTAGGACCGCTATAATAACCAGGAGAAGTGAAAATCAAAAGTTATGCAAAATGTTTGGGGTGCACAAGGTGCAATATGGAAGATGTGCATATAGAGTGTGAACTTAGTTTAACGGCCTTTGCTCCTACGAATCGCTTATAGCTCAGTGGTAGAGGATCTGGACCATTAACCAAGTTGTAGGTTCGACTCCTGTGGGAGAACTCTGACTTTTTCCAGAAATAATAATCATAATAATGGAATTTATATAGCGCTTATACATTGTTGTTCTAAGCAAGGTGATGTTACACGAAACGGCGATTTTTAGCGCAACACAGCGTTGCAACATTGTTGCGACATTGTTTCGAATGGTTACAACATTCTTCCAACACTGTTGCGCTAAAAATCGTCGTTGTAAGTCGTCCCGTGTCATTCTTATGACACCATAAAGATAGCTTTGTATTGTGGGCTCTAGAAAGTTTTAGGCATAACACGCAGTAAAGATCTTTGAAATGCTGTACTTGCGTAAAATATAAAAGTTAAACCCGCAGTGAAATAGTATTTTGCTTAACGAGGTGATGTGTTAACAAAATGCAGCCCGCTGATGGCAGAATTGACACGCGGTCGTCCGATTTTGTTTAACCACTCGAAAGATTAATGCTGAATCCGGGGCTAGTGATAGCTAATAATATAAGAGAATTTTGTTATGCTTATGATTAAGAAATTGAGAATGTCCCTTGAATTCTCCTGAAGGGAAGTGTCTAAGTAGCCCGAGGCCACTCGCTCTCATGCTAATCGCTAATGTCCAGTAGGGACTCCGCGTGCCGGCATTTTGAAAGTAGAGAAGGAGCTAGTCATGACGCTGATTTTCGGGGGAGAGGTGTACACTGTATGGCTTAGAGGTCACCTTTCAAGTCGTAATCTTCCAACAGTGGGCTCCACATCTGGATAACCTGAAGACAACAATAAAAACAGCAGAAACAACAAGGTATAAATTGTGCAAGGATGGTGACCATGAATAATAAATAGCTTTAACAGCGATTTTCGTTGAGTGTAGAAAGTGAGTTTGAAATAACTCACGCCAGTTCACCATCTGGACCAATCAGGAGTAAGCCTATAACCACACGTGACTGGCTCCCACCTGTTTTCCCGCGTTTCGTGCCGACTACAAGAATTTGAATTTATTTCAAGATCTTATTGGTCATTTGGAGCTACCGCTCTTAGCTTTGGTTTGTTTTGTGTGAATGTACTGCATATTAACATTATTATGACATTATTATGACATAACATTAGTTTCTGATATTAACCAATGTCTACCAATAGGGCGTTTTCACATGACGTCACGGCGGCCATATTGGCCTTCCAAAACAATGAAACGGCCGCCATGTTGGTGTACCAAGTCGATGCTGTGGGAATTGAATTATTTTCTTATGCGAAGGCTTTCTTTTGTTCCAATAAATTTGCATAGATACTGGCCACGTGAGTAAAAACGCTTTATACTGACAAGTGATACAACAAAAGGGCCTGTATACCTAACAGCAAAATCCTAACAGCTTGTCTTTGCTCATCAGAGTGTTGAGGACATCTATGAGACCTGTTAAATAAAACAATAATTACTTTATCAGTTATACGAAAACTGGAACGTTCTCCTTGAGAGCATTTTTGTCGTTTTAGCTACAATCGGCAACAAAATTAGCTGAGGCACTTTGCCCTTGAATAAGGGCCTCTCTGTTGTTTGCCAACTTAAAAAGAGGAAATAGAGCTTTCCCGCACCTACCCCCTCCACCAATGCTGTCCCACTGTTCGAGTTACCTATAGAAAATAACAAACACCCGAACTTTTAATGGAGGAAACAGGGGATGGGTGTGGATAGTTACCATATTTGAGCAAAATGCCTCAACAATTTTGTCGCTGATTGTAGGTTAAACATTACATGATGGAAACCTTTTGTTTAATTAACTCTCAAGGGGAAAAGTATTCTCTGGCGACACATTTATCAGCGGTATTACACATACCAAGATCAGAGCAGTTACATGCAAGTTTGTTTCACGCAGGACTAGCTGTGTGTAGGAAGTTTTAAGCGGGAAATTACATAGCTGCTCCTCTGATTGGTTGTTTAATCCAGAGACCCGAGAAAAAACACGTCAGTAGCAATATCCGGCGTCAAGCTGTCAATGTCTGCTTCTTTTGAAAGTTTTAACGCGTCCACTGTTATGCGAGTACGTTTATCTTGGAAAAGAGCACTCACATATTCCTGAGGTAAAAAGACTTATTCCACGACAAAAATGCTTCTTAGTGTAACCGTAACTTGTGTTATTATCGTCTACCTTGTACACATCCGTGCTGTATGCTCAGATACCACACCGCATGTCTGAACACACAAAAAAACAAAAATTAAAGAGGCTCTTCAGTTCCTCGTTACACAACTTGGTCAGATCATCGGTACAATTGTTATATTTATTTGTGAGATGGAAAAAAGCCGTCATTCAGAGTTTCTGTTTGTTTCTGACGAAACAACTTTAAAACAATACAGAGCATAAGGTACCTGATTTTGGATTGTGAAAAATAGGAACATAAAATTTTCAAACGCGTACATTCTTTTAGCTCCAACGTTACTGACAGAGGCTTTTAGAATGTGCAAAACAAAGAAGTTAAGCCGGGTGACGACTATGGGAAAATCCGAGACTCACCGCAATGCAGAGGCCGGAGTATAAAGACTTTTGCACTTTTAAATTAATGACAAGCAAAGAATGATTATCTATTTCATTATAGTGGAGCTCTCAATAGTGCCAAAAGCGTGCTCAGAGGAGCACCATGGGTAGTGCTTAGCAAGAACATACTTTTTGATTGGGGACACTGTTCTCAGTCTCCTACTGGAGACAGGACCGCCGTTTTACTTGGTCATCCAAGCCACCCGAAGGTCTCACATTCAAAATCTCTGAAAAAAGCACATTCAAAAAGACACTTACCTGAATCCACACACATGCCAGGATCAATCCTCAAGACCTGGGCTTTTCATCGTCGAGGCTTGTAGGCTGAAACACTGCCCTTTGGGGACACTTGGTTTGATGGTGGCCAAATTTCCTGCAAGCAAAACAAGGACCCAAGGATGATTGCAGCAGACCTCTGTTGGAGGTGAGGGATAGGGTAAGCAGCTGAAAGTGTACTGGTTAAAGAAAAACTTGATTTGGTGGGAGGAGATTTATTTTTCCTTTTTTCCTCATCCTTCAACCCTGAGTATTTGTCCAGCATGGGAATAGAGCCTGGGACCTTCTGCTCTGCACTCAAGCGCTTTACCACCAGAGCTTATCTTAATGGGGTAGAAACGTTTGGTAAGAGACCATCATCATCATCATAAGCAGCATCATGATCAACGTTTGCAGGGCAACAGGAATTACCTTCAACCCTGAGTATTGGTTCAGCATGGGAATAGAGCCTGGGACCTTCTGCTCTGCAGTCAAGTGCTTTACCAACAGAGCTTATCCTGCCACCATCATCATTACAAGCAGCATCATGATCAACGTTTGCAGGGCAACAGGCAGTACCTTCACCCTTGAGTATTGGTCTGGCATGGGAATAGAACCCATGACATCCTGCTATACAGTCAAGCACTCCACCGACTGAGCTACCCTACCGCAGTTAAAAGAAGTAACTTTACTAGAAAGGTCTTGCTTGCAGTGTGCCCTAACCAGTGTTTTAAAACTTGTCTAACATGATTGTTCGTGAAACTTTCTCTTACCTCTTCAGGTTTTGAGACGATGGCCCTCCAGATATGACAAGTTCCATCTCCTGATCCTAAAAAGGGAAAATTGAGAGTATATGTATTTATCACACAAAATGGAAAAGCCTCAAAGCTAAATCTCGTTATGTTCAAGTGATTCTAGTTAAGTATTGCAGGCATAATAAACAACACTGTCTGCCAAATATATTTTGTGTAGACTGCCTTGTATTATTTTAACTTTTCATTTTAGAGTTTGCAATTTAGTGATTCATGAGGAAACTCCGACATTTTAGAAACAAGAAACTACAGGATGCTGGCAAAAACCAGCTGTTGGTTTGTGTCCAAATGGCATGAAACTTTCTACTTGAGAGTATTACTGTGATATCTTGAGATAACAGGTTAGTGCCTTGATAATTGTAGGATACCAGGATAGTGCACAAGGCTTCTAGTTACAAACAGCTTACAATGTATATGTTGTAGTTAATTTTTTCTCAGGTAATTTTTCTTTTGTTTTTGAGTATGGTAATATCTGCCGATAAAGTTGAAAAAAAAAAAAAGAAAAATTACCTGAGATAAAAAATTAACTACAACATATTCAAAGTTTGGGTAGAGTAAATAATATCACTGCATTTAAGTGAACAGAAAAATATCATGAAAATAATTAGATGCAGCCGGCCATTGCTGATGAAAAATTATACGAGGACCTAAGTCTTTTTTGGCCTCTAAATTTCTCTAATTTTACATAAAAAACTTAACTGTTCATCCTTATTTTCAAGTATTAAAACCTGAATTTCAGATAAAAAGACAACAACAACAACATAAATTTCCCAAGAAACCATAATAAAGCCCCTTAAATTGGAATAAAAACGGTTAGTCTTGTCAAGATTGCCATAACGAAAGGCTTAAAAGCAGTTTTGGTAGTGAGTAATCATAATAATCAGTTTGTTAAACCCTTTTGGTAGTGTATAACACTAAATTACAAGGGAGGTCAAGAATACGCAGAACACATAATTACACATGGCACAGAAGGCAAAAACAATTAAATCCTATTGTAACTGTGGGTAACAAAATTACTAAGGCGGTCCGTTCTGACAAAGCGGAATTCAGAACGAGAAAGACCCGACCTCAACCCGTACCCATGAGTGACATTCGTGGGCTGCGGCAGCAGGTGTGAAAGGAACCCGGACTCCTTGATGTTAGATATAAAATGCCTGCAAGCCTCATCACGGCGCAACAAAAGTGTAGGCAAGCCACAGCGCATGAGTGCCGACTCATAAGAGCAATCTCGCTTTCCACCAATTGAACCAGACAGTTGGGGAGTGTGAGTTTATAATAGGTAAAGAAGCTTTCATTTAATACCTGTACAAACTATAGAATCTGTTGGGTGAAACCTGATGGAGTTGACTGAAAAAAAAAGGTGACAAAAGGATTACAAAGAATAAAACTGGAAAGAGATACACAAAGACAGATACGGTGTGTAAGAGAAAATGGCTTCAAGCTTTTGCTACAACAATGAAGCCTTCTTTATAGTGGGCAGTTTGTACATCCCTGGTCTGAATTTCAAATATGTGGTGGTTTCGTATATTCAGAGGAGTAGACCCTGCCCCTGTTGGCATTTACTGTAACCCATCTTTAATACAGTATGTGGTTTTTCGCCATTTAATCTGGTCCTTTCTCCGTTTCAAGGCCATGTCACTCGTCAGAATTCTAATCCAACTTAGTCGTTCCTATTTTTTATCTGTTATTGTTTTTTGTGTTGCTTTTTTCTTTTCGTCAGGGCCCCATTCAAACCAGCCTCGCTGAACTGAGCACCCCTGATTAAATATTGTCCAAAATTAAAAAAATAATAAAAATACAGGACAGGACAGCAGAAACGGCAACAAATGACATGTAAATATGGGTTGAAAATGTGAGAGCTACAGAGAAAAGTGCAAATGCAATGGTATAATACTGACAGTGACATGGTTTTGCAATCCAGAGGGCCTTATCATTGAGCCAAAAGCTTGCACCCATTGTTAACAAAGTGAGGAACTGGGCTTGGTTACTAGAAAGATGGTTAAGTTTAACCCAGGATTAAGCCAATTTCCAAGCAATGTTTTCTCGTGTAAAAACATGCAACTCGAGGTTACAAAATACTGTTGAGCATTACTATGAGATACAGTAACGATAACACAAAATGTATAGGAATGTAGAATACAAAAACGGAACAAAATTATAATCCAGGATTAACGCTAATCGGCCTTTCAGGAACCAGGCCCTGATGTCTTAGATTTTCTTGTTGTCCAAGAGCCACTTTGTCCACCAACCTGATCCACTGTGACCCAAGTGTGCAATCCACTGTGCCCAGTTTCCACATCCCAGAGTCTGGCTGAACGATCTACAAGTGAAAATACATGTACTTACATTAATTTTACCCCTTATTGTTTTATTTGACACCCAGCTGGAAGGGATTAGTTCAGTAAAATCAAATTAATAACAATTACATGTATAATAAGTTAAAGTAGTTACATATGCCACTGATATTAATATATAAAGGAAAAAATGTTAGCCCCAGATGGGATTCGAACCCATTCTGGAGCTCAGATTTTTTCTGTGTCCTCTTATGGTTGATTCTTTACATCTCCCTTTATTTCCTTTATAAATTAATATCAGTGGCATAGGTTGGTTGGTTGGAGGCTCCTTTATTTTTAGTGAGACATTTCTTACTATTAATGTGATTGTGTGATACAGTTAAGCCTTATGTGTTGCCTGTAATGGACTGTGTGAATGCGAGATGCGGTACGCAAGTTCAACCCACAAAAATGACCCTTCCTCGCCAATGAGTCCTCAGTAGCAAAGAGGTTAGAGCATCCGATCTAGGACACGGAGGGTCGTGGGTTTGAATCCCATCTGGGGCTCAGATTTTTTCTGTGTCCTCTTATGGTTGATTCTTTACATCTCCCTTTATTTCCTTTATAAATTAGTTACAGTAATTATAACTAATTATGATCAGTAATTTATACCATTATTTTACTACATTGTATTATGGCATCTTTGTCTTTCTCCAACTCCTACTTATTTATTTATTTCATAATTTATTATGCAACTATTCTGATGAAAGTATACAGTATTTCATAACACATGCACTGTTTACACTCTTAGTACAGTGTATGGAGTTCACTCTCTCTTACTATGACATAACATTCTGCACAACTTGGTGTAATAAGGTGGCCAGTACGAAAACTTACGTCATTTGATGCTTTTATTTCTCACAGACACAATGTTCTAGTCATTCAAACGACAACATTGACCTTGAATCTAGTAAGTCTTACTGAGTTGACTACCTAAGCATATCGACTTTTCTTTTTTTTTTTTATGCTCCTTTGCACTTGTTTACTAAGTTTTGAACTGGTCTTTATAAAAATTACTGGAAAAAAGGTGAGGAACTTGGTACAAAAATAAATGTTTTGACCTATAAAAGAGCAGAGCGACAAAAATAACCTCTCACATTTTTCTACTCCACAAGAATTGTTACATTGTACAGAGAATTTTCACTCTTGAAGCCAGCAACCATAATTAGCAGCAACTATGCAAATTTATTGAAACAAAAGAAAGTCTTTACACAAAGTTATTACAACAAAAAGGTTCAACTCTGACAGGACTAAGTTGGAACACCAAAATGCACAGCCACCATTTCAATGTTTCGGGACACCAATAGATTCAGGCAATTCTGGCCAGTAAAGAAACTCGGCACAAGACAGTTACATGCTCTCAGCCCTTCTTATTATGGCAGATGTGACATCATATGAGAACACTCTATATTCTTAATGGGTTCAATATGAACCTACCAGCAGATGCTGTTCCAGTCATGGTTGGTGTATGTCTTGCACATGTCACCTCCCACACTCCATCTCGATGTCCTGCAAAGCTTCTTGTTCTACGACACTCAACACTGGTTGCTTGGTTGGGATTCTTGAAACTTGAAACAATCTAGAAAAGTGTCACAAAACATTTAACTGTTTTCCTTATCATAATCATAATCAGGTAATTATTATTTTTCAGAACCAAGTGGTATCAAAACGTCAGTAATCTTCTGTGAGATTTATGTCCAGTAATATGAGGGAACTTACTGTACACAGCCAGAATGTTGACAGAAACAAAAAATAAACGCTAACAAATGTTTTAATAAACAAAACAGCCTCTCTGTACATGCACACTCATCCTTTCTGGTACATTTCTTGGCCATCACCCATGACTACAAATTTCATCTTTTATGGAGGGCATTAACACACAAAACAACAATATTATTTTTATTATCTTTTAAAACTTGTCTCAGATCTATGCTATCCATAACAATTCAACTCTAGGAACATTTGCCTACATCTAACAAATGGCATAATCATGATGAAATTTGAAACAATGCAATTTCAGTTAGGAAGTGATGTTTTGCTGCTGTTGCCATCATGGTTGCATAAGCTCCACATTCACTTCAGTGAAACAAAGAGTCAACTATGCAGTGAAAATTCCAGTGCTGGAAATAACCCATAAAATTATCCTGGCATGGAGTATAAGTTAAAAGGGAATTAGGGAACCTACATGAGCCACGTCAGAAGGAATCAAATCCTTAACTTCCTGATCTGATTAGAACAATCGTAATTGTAAATGTAATTTTGTAATTTGTTTACCCATGGAGCACTGGGGAGTTTATGAGAACTCGTTGAAACATGTCCGTGTGGAAGTGCTGGTTTTTAAGGAGAGGGGAAAACCGGAGTACCCAGAGAAAAACCTCTCAGAGCAAGGGAGAGAACCAAAAACAAACTCAACCCACATATGGGGTAGATGCCAGGATTTGAACCCGGACCACATTGGTGGGAGGCGAGTGCTGTCACCACTGCGACACCCTTGCCCCCGCGCCAACTGAGCAACAAGGCCAGATGAGAGCAAGTCAGGGGTGATAAAGTTGATCTTTCTAAAGGGGCCCACTGATGGCCTTGGAAGCCTTCAGGACTCAATGCTTTGCAGTCCAGTAGCAGAGGGTCTTTGAAAAAGGGAAAAAGGGAACCATGCATGGCAAAGAAAGTAATGTTGAAGTTTGCAACATGTATCAAGGTCAAACAGTCATTGTATTCTTTGCCTCAGTTGATTCTCCAATTCTCTTTGCTACGGCTTATGCTCAGAGCACTACCTGTTCCCTCATTTGTGCCACAGTGCTACACAGCACAACATTAGTTTCCCCTGGCAGTTGCATTAGACCTATGAGGTAATTAATAACCAGCCTGTGTGGACTATGTGTATTGGGTGGGGCATCACTGGCCCCTACCAAGGATAATTATTCTAAGCTTAACAAACAGAGGAGCTGAGTTCCCATTAGCTGTCTGTAGTGTGCATGACCCACTGGCTGATGGACATGGGTGGATTTCAGCAATGCCATCAGGCTAGGTGTACTAAACAGTTAAAAAGACAGGCCTGTTAGCTTGATGAGGTCTATTTTATGTGTAACAAGATACATGTACATGTAAAACATCTGTATGGCGGGATTGCACATATTTGACATTAAAATGTATCCAACTGAGTAATTCATGCAATTATAATTTTATTACCTTACTAGTAGAAGCTTTGTAAGTCGTTTTTATTTTCTGGGACATCAACTGGCTTGCAGCTGCAACACATAAATTATCACAAACTACAATAAGTTCATAGAGTAACAGATAAAAATGCCTGGCAATCCCTCTTTTCAAAGCAGCAGACAAGTGTACTACTCCTAAGGTTACTATATAAGAGTATTATAGGTTGTGTACAATAGTGTGTATCCCAGTGGCTTGGGATAAACATTAAAAGAATGCCAGAGAAGGAAAGACTATGAGAAAATTTGCTAGAAAGCCAATTTTGGAATGACTGATGTGAAAGACTAGGATTTTATGGGTGTTGGATTGCTCAGTGCAAAAAGACCACCACCTTACAGTGGCGGAGTGGTTTGTGTGCCTCAATGACCCATAGAGCTATGTCACCTAGAGTCTTTGACTCCTGGTAGGGCCACCTACGCCAAACAGGTTGAAGGATAGAGACCACACTAAGTGTGGTCCCATGGTCCTCCAGGTTGGGGGTTTGGCTGAGGTCTGATAACCCTCTCCCAGAAAACCCTGTTATTTATACAGAAACCAGAAGGAGAGAAAATTCACTTTAACAAGGCTAACCAAGAAAAGTGGAGGGACTCTGTGCCATGAGGTGCAAAGAGGATAGCTGAGGTGGTGAGGTGAGGAGTCCCTGTAAAAGGTTTGTATGGAAAAAATTGCTTGATCACAAGGCACATGCTCTGGCGGGTTTTTTAATATACTGCTGCATATGGCTTTTTCTTTTTTACCTAATTATCACTAATTTTACCACGACTTTAATTTAGCAAATTTGGAAGAGAAATATTTTGTGGGACTTAAATTTCACGATTTTGATGAAAAAACTGTTTTTCAAGGTAATTAAAGTTCTTGAAACAAGTACAGTGTACACTGGTGCTCGTGTTTTAAACTTCCATTAATTCTCTGTATTTTATTCAACCATAATGGAATAGAAATGTAACAAGCAACTGGCTGAATTATTCAACAAATCAGCAAAATAACATCTTTTAACACTTCAGCAATGCGTCAGATGATGAGGAACAAGGACATGTGCTGAACTGAAATTTGAGCCCTCCTCCCCATATGTATGCTCCTAGCAGACGTAAAACTTTAATTAAGGTTTTTATATTTAAATTTTGTGTCTTTAATTTTCGCAACACCTTTTTTCGCCGGAATTTAATTTCATGAATTTTTTTAAATTACAGAAATCGTGGAAAATAAGTCTCACAAAAATAAGTGATGATAAGGTACATGTATTCAAACAACCATAAAATCCTGTTGTTAAGAGTTAACTACTAGCATATAAGACCAAAGGAAAAACGGTGGATATATGGAAAGTGAAGTGCACATTTACACAGGAAAACCTAAAGTACCAATGTGTTTAGATGAAACCAATGACTTGCTCCAATGTCCATTATGGTTTGCACACTACGTCTTGTACTATTAATCATGTTTATGTCAGCTTTCCAAATCAATTTGCCCAAAAACAGAAGTTGAATCTCTAGATAAGCCACTTTTTTAACCAAAAACTGAAAAAGTGCTTGGAATAATAGCCTTATTTTGTTACATGTTAACATTAACTCTTCAACTAAGCCATGTATGTGTTCTCTGTGACACACAATAGGCAAACTGACAGTAATTTTATACAATGCAGTAGCTTACACTGCTTTTTACTATATCCAGTTTTTGAAGAACCTCCCTCAGCAAATAATTCACCATCTCCAAACTTTTCTCCTCCACTCAGGACAAGATCCAACTTTTCATTCAATGCTTCAACTCTCTCTTGCACTGTTAACAGACATAAACACACACAAGTTAGATAATCTACATTTGATTTCAGGTTAATTTTGATTTAACCTAGGTTAATTTTCAATTTCCTTTGTCTCCTAGCCCTATTATTATTCATGAATAAGGGCTAAGAAACAAAGCAAATTGAGAATCAACCTAACGTACGTTAAATCAAAATTAACCTGAAATCACAGTTGACAGTCTGTAACATACATGATGATATGCTGGTGAAATGAGCGCAAAAATAATAACCTACCTTCTGTCCACTCGGTCAGTAAAACAAGAAGGCCTTGGAAGTTAGGCATTATCCTATATATAAGTCTCTTAGCTCAATAGCAAATAGACCAATTCCAATATATTAACATTCATACTTGGCTGCATCAGGCTTGGGGGAATAAAACAAAAGAAATCATCTTGAGGCTCAATAATGAATTCTTTTGTTTTATTCCCCCAAGCCTTGGAGCCAAGTATGAATTTTAATATATCGAAAATTGTGTATTCTGCTATTCACTATTTGTCAGCTGCCATAATATACTGTACCTTGTTTGTACCTCAAAGTTTTGCATGACCTTTGTTTTTAATTTCTTCTGGGTATTACAGTCATTCCAGGAGAAAAGAAAAGACATTCACAGGGGTTATGCAAAAATTTAAAATTTTGTGGGGGCAAACAAGGTGCATTATGCGAGATGTGAAAATCGCAAAGGACCTTTCAAATATATTCATAAACTTTTTTAAATAAGCTGATCTGAAAACAACTAACACAATGAGGTAAAACTAAGTATTGTGGGTATTTTGTATATTTTTTAATTTTACGAGATCCTTTTTAAAAACCATTTTTAGTATGAAAAGTTAGTTATCTCAATAAAGATTATTATTACTTTGGCTTAACTACAGAATACATGGCAAATTTTCTAGGTATATTCGTTGGGGTGGCTCGGTGGCTCGGTAGTCCCGAATAACGAGCCACCGAGCCGTCGAGCCACTAAACTATATAACCTCGACTGAAGAGCCACCGAGCTGCCGAGCCACCAAAATATATACCTATAATCTGCTATAATACATACTAAAATATATGCCTTCTATGTCTGTCTTATACTTATATGTCTTATATCTTTCTCGTTCTTTAAACACTTGTCATGACTAGCGAGCCACCGAGCCACTTCTGTTTAAGACCTTAAAATATGGCCCTGTATTCTGTAGTTGCTCCATTATTTTTATTATTATTAAACCAAGATTTACCTTTTAAGAAAAATAAAAAGTTAACTACACTGTTGAATCCAACTCTTTTCAAACCCTTTGTATTTGAAATTACCACTAATTTGGACCACATTTAACTTTCATTTACCATTCACAACTGTGATTTTACCCCTGAATTTTTCAAACCTCTTGGTATTTAAAACCAATTTGCTCTTTTAACTTGATTCAAAAGATCAGGATTAATTCCACCTAAACACTTAAATGTACTTTTTAACATCATGCAATTCTTAGCAAATAAAGAGATGTTGAATCCAAGTGCTTGCCAATTAGTAACATAAAATTGGCCACAGGAAAGCAGTCTCCAGAGACTTGTTAAACAATGTTATGGCTACCATATTGTGACATACAAAGGCAATTTACGTCATCAGTTTAGGACAACAAATCAACAAGCAGTTGTCTTATTACACAACAACTTTTCAAGATAAAAATAGCCAGGTCTCGATGTTTACAAGAAAGGAATATAAACTTTAAAAAGCTATATTCACTAAACTATCAGCTAAATTTTAGCATGAATTGACTAGAAATGTTAAAAAGACTCACATACAAGTAAGCTTTATACTTTACCAATATGCATTTGAATGAATATACTGTGTGTGGGTAAGTCAAATTATTTACGGGTTACTAATTAAGTTAACCTCATAGGCAACATCAAGAATGAAGTATTCTCCGGTAACTTCAAAATAGTTCGCAGTGACAAAAAAATAAACGTTCGTGCGATTTGTCCAAGTCAGAAATCCGAATGGAACTTTTACAGCCGTGTTTGCTACCACCACAAAGAGAATTGCCGGCAGTAAAAGTAAGTAACACAGTATGGAAAAACATGAATTACTTACAAGCAAGGTTTTCAGCATGCATACATTCAAATTCTCTTTCTATCTGAACAAACAGCGACCACAATCGAGAGCGAACATCTGAAGGCAGAGAGCTCTCGCGATCCTGTTCATATCCATCATGTCGCATTCTTTCTGAGCCCATTCTGTTCGGCGAGCGAGTTCGTCTAATCGAAAGCCGTTTAGGCTTAATCTTGATGCTGCCCGCTTGTTGCTTACTCATCTCTTGGGAACAGGTTGATAAATCTACAATACAAATTTATTCCTTCAGAAAGAAAGGAAGAGTACTAAATTCCAATCAGGTTTATCAAAGTGTGCCGCTGACCATGTAGAGTGAATCAAGTCTCTGGTCACCTGCCTCCGGGGGGGCACTTGGGTATTTTTTGGATGGGTACGGCTGCCTGGGACTCCAAATTGGCACCCCGTTCTAAAAACAATTTGCCCTAAAATTGATACCCCGTTCTAGAAATGGGCCGATTTTTTTTATACCCCGTTCTAGAATTCGCCCTAAAACTGATACCCCGTTCTAGAAATGGGCCAATTTTTTATACTCCGTTCTAGAAAGTTGTAAATTGAAATAGCCCTGTTTTTTAAAGAGATATTTCTTTATTTGTCCGACTTACATCAAATAAATGCTTCTTCATAATCAGCAACAATTTTAGGCAGAAGATAAAGCCCTGATCCACAATTTTTTATACCCCGTTCTAGAAAACGCCTCTGAAATGGATACCCCGTTCTAAATTAGGAGCTTCAAAATCGCGACCACGTTGGGCGGCACATACCCGTATAGGTAATGTATGGGAGTACCCCCCCCCCCCGGGAACCTGCTTACCATTCGGCGTTCTGCATTCGGCGTTCCACATTCAGCGTTCTTCAAAAAGACACTAATAAATATATATTTCTTGAAGCTTCAAATCAGCAAACAGAGTCATTCAGCAATGTGATTGGGCGATCCATGCCACGTGGTCTCAAAAAGGAATTTAGATTCTGGATTCCAATCATAAGGGGGATTTCGGATTCCTAAAGCTGATATGAGCTGTATTTGGATTCCAAAGCCCAGGATTCCGGATTCCGAAAATTTTCCATGATTTCGAAATTCGGATTCAAAAACGTATGATTTCGGACCAAAATTGCAAGAGACAACTACAATAGTACCACTATAATATTACGGCCATTTTGAATTCCCATAAATCAATTTGTAATTTCCATTCCTAAACATAGCTTTTGCAATACTGTATGTATTTGTATGGTCATTCAAATAAAGCTCGTTGTTGTTGTTGTTGACCAAGAGATCAAAGTACCAAGATTTATTGATGAACTAAGTAGCAGGATCAGGGATCGTGTAAAATGGAGTCGAAAACGTTTTCAGGGACGTAGAGAGCTTTTTGACTAGTTGTAGGCCTTGCTGACTTTCATTTTCTACATATCCTGAAAATTGCACGCATGACTAGTATGCAGTGACCTCATCAACACCTTTTTTTTAGCTCACCCCATCAACGCATAATTTATTACAAGCGGTAGAGTGATCAAATCAATAATTTGCAGGTTCGGACCCACAAGTTTATGGGCTGGCTACGCCCCTAGCTTTTACGTCTTTCTCCTGTCTTCCTTTGCCTGTTGCAACTGATTGCAAAGGTAGACATAAATTGAAACTTGAAAAAGTTTGGCCAACTTTTATTAAATAATGGTGAAATTTTCTTGTTATCTTCATCATACGCAAGTTGATACAATGACTCTATAGCTACAGGAGCCACTAACTTATGACCAGCACAGAAATGACCTAAAAGAGCAATATCAGAATATCATTCTAAAAAGTTTGACTAATGGTCCGTCGCGGGTTGCGGATGTATGTCGCGGGTGTGGGTCGCGAATTTCCCCACTCGCTACCCGCGACCCGCAACCCGCGACCCCCGTCCATTAGTCAAACTGTCCTCTTGACATAGCTTTAAATTTGAAATGTACAATGGGTTGTAGAAAGGTCTAGAAACCACTATAATTATTATAATGACGTAACTTTAAAAGTCAGCGGAAGTGTTAAGCTGGCTTTTTTTATTTCTTTGTGTGTATTGCAATTTGCATTACAGTCCAGGATTGTAAACAAGCTGTCAATTGGTTTAAAACGATACCAGACACTGTGCACATACAAATATTATGTTTCTGCAGAAGGCGCCTGTAGGAGCTCAGATAGCTCAGCTTAAAAGCAAACTTTTGCTGCTGTTATTGTCAAGAAAGCGCAACTATTTTATGTTTCAAATCAAATTTGGGTAAACTGAACTTTCTTTACCTTAAACAATTTGTGGCTTCCAAACATGTGTCGCTGGGGCTGCTCTGAAAAAAGTAAGGTGTGTCAGGTTATTATGCCTTTGAATAATTGAGAACCAAATGTGTGTGAAAGCATTTTAAATGAAAAGGTTTCATCAGAATGGTCACGACCGGCCGATTATTACGTGCACAAGTTAGTCGTCCACAAGTTAGTTTATAGACGCACAGATCAAGCCTACAGGTACCTAAAAAACAAACTCTTGCTAGAAATCAAGAAACGTGGTATACAGCAACTCATCTAAGCGAGATTCGCTTTAAACTGGCTTCCATCTGATTACTTCGATTTAAATTTACAGACATTCAAGTGCAGGGTCTGTGGAACTAAGTATTGTGAAGCATGCGGCAGAGGAGATTTTCATGGTGTAATGACGGATAAAACAGTTTGTCAAGTTTGTTTTCAGGTATTATGGAATTGAACTGGCCTTTTTAGCGTCAAGGAGATCACGTTTATGCATGGATGCAGTACTGAGTATATTTCAGTCGGACTTCACTAAACAAAAACACAAAGGACAAATTCTCCTTTCTACCATGGCAAAACTTTAACCCTTTAAGCCCTAAGAGTGATCAGCATCAAATTTCTCCTTGCAATATCACTACTTTGTAAAACAGAGTGTTCATGAGAATTACGGAAATGATCACACGAGATGAATCAGTGGCTATATATTTATCAACTTCTCCCCCCTACTTCTGTAGGAAATCAACAGGGGCAACAAATGAGAATTCAAATTTTGATCCTAAGGTTTAAGGGGTTAAAAAATTGGCTTCGTGAGGGGAGGATAAAGACACCCAAATTTCTGAAAGCTGTGCCCCTTGTGAAACTTGAAAGGTATTACATCCGGACAGTTTACGGAAGAGAACAAAGAAAAGTGTTTACTTAATTCGCTAAATGACAAATCGTTTACAAAGCAGGCTCGTTTCAATTTATTAGAAGAGAAATGTCGCAATCCCTGAATCACCTTGTGTAACTAGTCTCCAAATAGATCTTTTGAGTAGAATTAGTTCTTATTGTTTTTGTTTAATCCTTTAATTAGCCCAAGATCATAGTTCGTAAGCTTTTATGTAAATTGGTTTGTTCCGAAGGAAACTGCTGTGCTTCATCAAGAAGATGAACCGGGGGACCTCCTTATAAAATTGACCAGTTTAGGGGTAACAGTCGCAGATTTTGGTCTCACTTGTGCATGGTTTTCAGGGGGGAAAGCCAAGATTTTTTCCAATGAAAGTCTCGTTAATAGTATTGTCCCACGCATACCTTCTCGAGGGTTCGTCACAAGTTACTGCCCCACGTTGGGGAGGACAGCGTGACAAGCCAAAAGAACCACTGAAAGGGAGGCTACGTTAACAAGGGTGTCGAGTAAAGGTGTGCCTTATTACTTGTTGTGTGTTACTTAATGTCATCATTACGAATTTCAGCCTAAATGCCAAGGAGAAAGAATTGGGCAAGACCCAGGAAAATCAGCTCAGAACAAAAGAACAGTCAACAAGAAAACAGTCAAAGCTGAAACTTCACAAAAACAATCACAAGACACGAGAAAAACATAAATATCAACCGGCTCTAGTTTAAAAAATCCGTAGATTGTTTAAAACAGGTCTCTTTTCTTAATACAGAGGAAAATGTGAGCCGAAAACGCCCGAGCTTATCGGAAGCTAGCGAATTGTAATATCGTTTTCAGATTTCAACCCATGTCAATAGCAAGTAACGCTTAGCTTTGTTGGTTAATTAGGCGCGCAAACACTGAAGCCAAGATGGGAGAGGGGAGTGCGAGGAGCTTGGGGGAGGGGGGGGGGAGAAACTAGTAACCGTCCTAGCCTGGGGTGTCGAAGAGCCATTGCTCATCTCTTTGCCACGTTATGTGCCTGAACGAGCTAAATAGCTTTGAGTTCATGAAATTTTGTCTCCAAGTTAGCCATAGTGCTAATTTAAAAGCTACTAAATCATAACATAGAAAGTTCTGGGCACAATGCACGCTCAGCACTTACTTATCGCGGGGACGTTCGGGAACGATCAATCTACGACAATTGTCTTTTACTGATTCCATCGATTTATATCGAAAGATACACCTGTTCATCCAAAAATGAAAACTGATTACATGCAAGCAGTAAGTTTGTGGACAATTGAGTTGCAATTAATTTTGAGAATCGAAGGATCAAACAATTATCACTTTTTAAAAAAATCTTTTCAAAAAATTCTGAAAAATCTTATCTTGTTTTCAAAAATCAGGTTTAAACTCTTCTTGTGATGGCTAGTATTGGCCAGTTTTTTACAATTTAAATCTCCATGCCGCCCTTTCAAAATAACGTCGGTGTAGTTCTGGGTGTAGTTGCATCCCGGGGTAGCCAATAGATAAAAATCGTCAGCAATCAAGTGATTTTTATCCATTGATAACGAAAACGGTGAAAATCTACCTAGGAAAATCTTTTAGCCTGAATTTCAGACATCCCTTCGCCTCCTACGAAATCTTTATCTAAGGTTGTTCTGAATGTAATTAAACCGAACCGTTTTTGTCATTATGTACAAAATAAAGGGTCTTAGAGAGAAACTTGTGTGTGTAATAGTTTGCACATTTCTCATTTTCATGTTTGTTGATCAGTTGTTACTCGTGGATGTGTTTTCTCAGCTGTAATATCTAATTTTGCCAAAAAACAACAATGGCGGACTTGATAATTTAATAATACTGATTTGACACAGCAATTTAGTTTATCGATTTTCTCCGATTTCCGTTATCAATCGATAAAATCACTTGATTGCTACCGATTTTTATCGATACCGATTTTTATCGATTGATTACTCCGGGTAATATAGCACTGAGCAGAAAGCCCTATCTAGACCTCGACCGTGAGTAGCATAGCAGAGAAGCGACGACCGGAAAAGCGTCTGCTGTTCCCAGGCTATGAGTAGCATGGACCTTCGCCATCCTAGCTGCTCCGATCCCTGGTGTTTAGAAAGTGGGAGCTGCCCGAGATTAGGGGTTCTTACCATTTACATGAGAAAACCAGAAATTTCGGTTGGAAAATTAAATGATTCTCGCCACTGTTCTGTTTGGGAAGCTTCTCAAAATATGGGCTGTGATTAGAGACGATGCAATTTTTCTACTCTTTTTAGTCTGTTCAGCTGAATTGGTTGTTCTTTGTAACGCGTCATTCTCCCACCAAGTCAAATTTTATAGTTTTGTGTTTATGCACAATATTTCCACCCTGGTGGTTTGTGTAAATGGTAAGCATCCTTGGTCTCTTCCCTTCTTCCCACTGCGCTCTCTTCATCTTCCCATCTCTTCTATCCAAACGCCTGACACAGGAAACTGCCGGTACCCACTTCATGATAAAAAAAAACATGACATGTCCTTGGGAAGGTTCAAGCATCGCGCCAGTTTCTAGGAGGTGGTGCATATGCTTCTATGGATATATTGAAAAACTGAAAATTCCTGGAGGCCGCATTTTGCGTGCTTTGAATTTAAAGAAAGTACACAATACATCAGACAAAAGTCATTGCTCGCATAACATGAAATCTTAGAACAATTTGTATAGGAAATAGACTTGCGGTGTCTGAAGTCGCACTGATTCGAGCAAAGATTAGCACGAGAGGCGTAAAAGCAGCTCAGATATTACCGTGCTTCGGTCTAAATGCGCGATCTCCTTACTTTGTGATTCGTGATTCTTTAGGAAAGTAATTAAACTTGAAGCTAGTTCAGAAAGTGACTGAAATATTAGTAAAATGCCCAAAAATGCATTATACCTGGCTCGTTTCATGCGTTTTAAGATTAAGTCTCTACCTGCATTCTTAACTAGGCCAAGAAAAAACAATATATTGAAATTAATAAAAGTGACTCGACCTAGTGTTGACCAATTTTAATCAATTAGAGCTCATTTTCTGTAACAATGGATGTTAGATATGAGATTCTTGCCTTGAAGGAAAATAGCGTCCTTACTTGACTGGGATCACCGTCCTCTTTAACACTGACCCGAACTTATGAATGGCTAATTGACGGATTAACTAGACTTGTTTTGACACTTATTTAATGTATAAATTGATAAACTACGCGACACCTTTACTAGATAATTTTAAAAAATTCTCACTAACTAGGAAGAGGAACGTGACTCTTAAACCTAACTACATTTACTATAACCTTTACTGCTTGATGTACCTAAATAGAAGCAGTGGTCTATAAAATATATATATACTTAGAATGGTAAGAAAAATACGCTAGTAAATTACGTCTAATATAAAAATACTTACATTGTATAATAAGGAATTGGTTTTCTCCTGCGACGGGGCGGGATGGGAGGCTGTTGTATTTACCCAGACAATACCCTTAGGCATTGATTCCATTAACTAAAATTCCAAAAAAACTACTCGAACGGCTGAAAATATTCACAGATTGATAAAGAGCACCTCAGACAGGAACGATTCTTACCAACAAATCCGATTGGAAATGTGTTTTGACTCATGATGTTCTGTGGTTAGGAACATCTTGAGGAACGGGCGATCTCTTAAAAAAAACTTTTACTCATGAATAAAACTGACACTGGATTATTTCAGAGACTTCAGGCAAGTGATATCTGAAACAGAAGCTGTTCTTAACACCTAAATACTAATGAAAATGTCAGAAAAAAACTCTGACTCGTCTACTTGCAGACGGTAAGACTAAGAGTTTTAAAAACACGCCGCAAACGGAGTAACAATCATTAGCAACAGTTATTCACTCGAAGACACAGAAACAAGCTAAACACATATACGCGCATTTTGCTACGTCTTACACTACAACAAGCTAAAATGGTGGAGTATTTACAGGGGACTGCAGGCAAGGTGCTGGCCCTAAAAGCCAAGTTCTATTAAGAAAACTACAGTAATTCATCTAACTAATTGAAGGGGCTGTATTAATTTTTTGAAACCAAAAATGTTTTGTTGTGAATCCTTAGTCTATTTATATGGCTATTTGTACCGCTATAATAACATTGACGGATTATAAAACTGTACATATGAATAACAGACATCTTGTTTCTTGCCAGCATCTTTGCGAATAAGTTACCACAATAAAGGTTCAGCCAGTTGTTCAACTCAAGTGTCTTCAATTTGATATCGTGAGTTAGCAACTCTTGAATCGCAGTATAATCAGACATCTTTACCTCCTATCTGTGGAATAAGGCTAACATAGTGAAACTCGTGCAGGTGACCCAGCACGAGCCGGTTGCCACCAGTAACATCAATCTCTGGGCAGATCATTACGTCATGGCGATGCGGAAGACTGCTGATCACGTGGATGCACGTTTGAAAACGGTATGCCGCGCCGTGTAGAATCACGTGATCACCCCATGTACCATCTGCCAACATGCTTGTGAGGTAGGCATCCCAAGATGGATATCCATCAACAAAATGAAACAATTCTGTCCCATCCGGCTGTAAGAAAAAAAGAAAATACTGTAGTTAATGGAGAAAGAGGTGGAGTACTTTTGTAGAAGGTACATATTCAGGCAGCCGCGCTGTCAGCTCTCTCTAAGGCGGACCCCGCTGGTATCGGCACCAGAGCATATATGTCCGCCTTCGTAGTGAACCGGAACCAGGCCAAAAGGTTGTCTGCAATGGACAATAAAATAGACTATGATAGCATACTAACCAAATAAGAACATGATCCCTGCACACTACATCACTTCCATAGCTCGTGACGTTATGTTGATGAGATTCTACCGCATTTTATTCATGTGATAAAGATGCAATTGACATTTATTTGCTCCACTTCATACTAATGAGATTTCACTTCAAAAACGAGGTCTAACGTTTGCATCCCATACTACTCTTCTTACTCTCTTTCTCTCCAAGAAAAACAATTAAGAACGGCAGGGACCAACACTTTTAGGAAAGTACTTGAGAAGGTTTTAGGGAGGTGTCTGTTACACGTGTAAGAGAGAGGGGAAGAGGTGTTTACTATGAAAAAATAAAAGTTTGCAATTTCGACTTGTAAACCAGTATGTTGGGTCAGAAATGACCCTACAAATATAACAAGTATTGAGGATCTCAAGTTTATCCTTTCATGCTATACTTGTACGTCAAGTCTTACCCTCTTTAAATAAAGTATTCACTTCGCTTCACTTTACTAAGTAAACATATGCTGTTCGAACAAAGCGGCTGTTGGTAAACATTCCATACTTAGCAAAATGACGCACTTATAAAAAATTAGGACATGAGTCAGACGATCGAGGCGACAGAAACAGATTTCCTAAAATCTGTTTTCATTTACGCCTCCGAGTCAAAAATGTGATTAAAGGAAATGAATTTGCTTTCTTTTAACCTTAATGGCGCTTATGTAACGTTTTTCAAATTAAAAAAAGTAGAAGAAATTTCCCGGATTTGAATTCTAAGGACAGCGTCCGGATCCAATAACAATATTTCGTCGCCATGCTTTCGAGGTCCTCTACAAAACGTCGCATTAGGAAGTTTCACGTCGTGCAGCGGAAGGCGAAGCAAAATACAAATAGGCGTGATGCTCGTGCAGAGCTGATGTTTTGCTGATAAAGGGTCGATTCATCAGCAGCATACCCGTAAAGCCGTAGCATTTGGCTGCAAGAATTTAAGGCCCCGTCCACACGTATCAGGGTATTTTTAGCGGCCTTTTCGGGCACCAAAAACACAGGTCCCCAGAAAGCGGTCCCCAGAGTGGACTTCTGAAAACGCCGACTTCTCGTTTACGTGTGGACGGAAGAAAACAGAGGTTTTCTAATACAATGATGTCATGCATTATATGCTAGTAGCACTGCGTTTGCCCTGTAAGGGATGTTATCGTATTTCAATCACGTCAGCGTTTTTATGTGGACGGGCGCAAAAAATTCAAATACGCTACGTGTGTACACGTATTTCGGATACGTCAGAACAAGACCTTATTGCTTTTAACCTTAAAAACAATAAACACATTTCAGTGGGAAAATGCGACGGCTTTCGCATATATTGCAAATAAATCCACCGTAGGAAAAACAATAACCAAAGGTACTTACCAGACTGGGGTTTTCCCGAAGATGCTGAACAATAGTTCGGCGTAACTCATCATGGGATATCTGAATTCCTTTGATGAGGTCAAGCTGCTCTGAAAGTGCAAAAAACATGCAGTTTCCCTCTCCTTGATTGTCAGATATCGCAAAACCTTTCTCCAACGCAGTCCTCTTTAAAGCCTGCGACAGCTCAGTTTTGCTGGACTCTGTGCGTGCTTCCAGCAGGATTTGTTGAAGTGCAAGGAAAATTGCTTCGCCTGTAAACGGCAGAGGGAAATTATTAAAATAAGAATGAGGTTATTTCACGTCAGTTTAATAGGACATGATGAACTCGTCTTTAGTTAAAAACAGCCGAAAATATAAATTTGTCCTGGTTTCAAGAGAACAAAATAACCCCACTCTACTACAAAAATAAATTTTGGCTCTGGTTTATTTGAGAAATCAAAGAACCACATCACCAGTCATCGATCCTTTTGCCGCATCATTTTCAAAGTCATTCTGTGGAACGGTATCTTCTTGGGTCTTTTCAACACCTGTAAAATTTAAGAAGAAAAAAACATTCAATTACAGAAAAAAATAAATGATTCCAATCTGAGAAGCCCTCCATTTATTTTGTGTGATATATCATAAGCCAAAGTTTTAGCTGGACGGTTGTCATTCTTTTTCTTTAAAAGAGAGAACAAGCAGCACGTGAAAATATCTTGATTGTTAAACAAATTCTCCTTATCAGTAACACAAGATATGTATGGATAACAGTGTGGAGAACATGAATGCTGTTATTGAGGTTTAAAAGGTTAACGTTGGCAATCTTTCTGCAGTTATTCACATGCACCGCCAAACATAATACCATTAAATTTGCTTACGCACTTGCTCTTGCTGAAGCAAATAAAATACAGGGATGAATCATAAAAGCAAAACAAAGGCTAATCCTGATATGAGATACGCAACTGACATTTCCACCGTGTTTGAAGTAATAATTAGCAATTATTGAATTCGGCTTTCGTGGGATATGAAGAATTCTGTAGATCGAGGAGGGTGTTATCCACCGAGGACGAAGGCCGAGGTGGATAACACCCTCCGAAAATAATTCCAAGTCTAAAAACAAGCTGAAATTTCCTTCCCTCGGTCGATGTTAAGTTTATATCGATAGTGCATCTTTATCGAGAAATTGAGGAGATATTAGTCTGTTCTGGCCTGCAAATATACTCCAAACAGCGGATGTTGTCCGTCGAGTTGTCTTCTCAGTTCTCTTCTTGCTATGATTTTGACAATATTTCGCCGTGAAACAAGTAAAATGTTTCGCCGACTGAGTAAGCCATTTTGTTCTCACCACCAAAACAACTCAACCTCGTCCCCAGGTTTTCTCGGTTAACGGTTCAGTAATCTTCAATTTTGGCTGCACTTTTGACGTCATTTGTTGAAAATGACAAATTTAGTCAACAGTAGCTGTTTATGATGAATTATGCATGTGCTTTTAGCCAGTCAAAAACGGAGAAATATTTTGAACGAATAATAATTACTATTATCATTACTCTCCTTTAGGCAAAGTTAACTTCTTACCATAGACCATCTTCCACATTCTGGCGACAAGGTTCTGGCACTGTCTCTCCCAAGAGAATCTTTCATCATATTTTCTTCGCAGTCTTTGGATTTCCTCAAGCCGCTGTGTCCTTGATTTTTGACGGATGGCTGCAATTGCCTTTGCCCATTCCTTGGGGTCATCAGAGTCGATCACAAATGACTCACCCTTTGGAAGACCACGCAGTGCTTTTCCAAATCCAGAGTTTCCACTAACTAGAATGGGAAGACCAGCTGACATGGCCTCTAATGCTGTCAAACCAAACCCCTCAGTTCTTGATGACATAATGGCCAGGTCGACTTCACAAAACAATTCTCTCAATCTTTGCTTGTCTTTCACAAACGATCTCACAATAAGCTGGTTCTTTGAAATCCCAGTCTGGAGTAAGATTTCTGCGACTTCATCCTGCCTTCCATCGGAAGCACCAACGAAAATAAGACTATAAGAACTGTCCTTCAATTCCACTATGGATTGAGCGGCAATGTCGTATCCTTTAAGACTAAAGTCTTCCAAATCACCGCGACCAAAGGTCAGTACTCTGAAATTTACACCATCTTGTGCAGCATGTTCAATATCTGAAAACGCTGCAAAGGAACCTGGTATTAATTGTAAGATTTCTCGATGAGATGAACGCAGCTTGGACGAGAACACTTCTTTCAGCTTGGGTCCAACGGATACAACGAGATCTGCAATTTGACAAAGTTCAACTTCAGCTCTGTTCTTCCCTTCTCCCTTGGCAATGGCGCTTGGATAGTTCTTATGCATCGCCAGCTCTTCAGGCTCAGTGTGAACAACCTGCACCCACTTGCAGCAATGAGACTTTCTGATAATTTGTGCTTGTCTACCAAGCTTTGCTCCATGGCCGATCACAACCTGAATGTCAAGGTCTTCTGGGGGAGCGATCAACCAGTCAAGAGGATCACTGTAGGCAGGAAGGCGCCCTGCTTCCCGGATGGAAATGTTGTGACTTTTGGCAGCTCTCTTATGCTCTTCGCCACACTCAAATTCAGGTACAAGAATGGTCACTTCTACATGTGGGTCTTTTGCCAAATGTATGGCAAGAGTTCTGTTTATTGTTGACAAGCCACCCTTGGACGACCCCCACTCATTCGCGAGAAGGGTAACTTTCAGTACCAGACAATCTGGACGAGCTTGTGCTGTATCAGGTGATGATGATGGAGTACACGCTTCCTGCATAGCAACCAAAATTGCACACTTTAAAATATAAATTTTTACATCTGGGGGGTTCTACCTGTTAACACGTTAGATGTTGTAAACTGATTGCTCAACCGCAAAGCAAAACATCGCATTAAAAAAGACTTGAGAAAAGGTTATATGCCCACTGCTAAGCCTACAGGACACTAACAATTAGTAATACATGGTAGCCAATTGACCTTATCAACTTACTTGATATTATAAAGTACCAATGTTCGCTAAGTTGACAGCAACAAAGCCTTCTCTTACACTGCAGAGAAGCTCGTGGTAGGATAAATGAAGGCATACGTTGTACATCATACTATAACCTAACAATGCACATGCATAGACTTTGTTGAAGCCTTTTTAGTTTAAATATATGGCTACCTTTTAAGGACATAAGTTTTAGTAGTATGTGTATTCGCTTGATATATGCTAACGGCACTGCTAGAGATCGAATTTTACCGCTACCTACCTTTGTTGTTATCTGTGAGAACCACGTTTGGTGTCCCGTAACTGTGAGTACCTCCTCTACAGGTTTCTCCTTGCAAATCAGAGGATCGCCATGTCTTACCTCAAGGAGGTGAAGACAATCTTCATGAGAACATGCAATCTGATTGTGGCTTGGACACTTTTCCCGCTGACAATACGGACAGGCGACCCGAATATGATACTGCAATCCACCCTTATAGAGATCACGTGACAAAGCTTGCAATGTTGCCTCCACAAACTCACGAACCTGCAGCGCAATCTCACTTGTGCTTTCCACAGAGATCTGCTGAGGGTGGGTTCTTTGCTTGATAAAGAACTTGATAAACTGCTTCTTACAAATAAGAACAAAATCATGGAGGGTTTGCTTCCCAATAACAAACCACGCTCCATTTTGGTACAGGGTAGGGGGCTGAGTTGGACCAGCATCAGAACACCAACGGACAGATCGAGAAACAAGCCGAGTGAACAGACCATGGGGAACAGAACCGCTGACGAAGTAAACAAACAGGGGACAAGGGTCGAGGGTTGTGGGTGTCATGGAACAAAGAGAATCAGGAGACGCTTTGAGTTGAGATGGAACAAAGTATTTTTCTCCTGTCTTTGAAGATGAAAATTTAGCAATCAAAGCAAATTGTTCCATCAAATCCAGAATGTCTTTCCTGGCAACGCCCTTCAGAAGAAATTTGGAAAACACATGATCAAGCAGTTCCATGCTGAGAACACCGCTTTTTTCGACTTCTTTCCAGAGCTTTGCAAACTTAGGGACCTAAGACGGAAGAACACGAGGAATGCTCACAAAACTTTTCAAAATAGCTTTCTTGTAGGACCATTTTACACTACTACATTATTACACTAATTATTTATTAGTAAGTCTACTAAAAGAAACAAGTTACGTTCAAACCTCTTTAATTTGGACACCAAAGGGACAAAACCAAGTGTCCGCTTTACCATCCTCCATTTGGTTTACTCAGCGGAAACTTCTTATGGGCCAAATTTCAAAGTGCGTTCTGATTGGTCGACATAAAGAGTTGCTGGTTTCAGCAGACGTGTATGTATCTTTCCACTCTGTTTTGTTTTTAGACGTACCTTTAAGACTACATATCACGACAATTGCAGGTAAATTGGTTATGACGAGCTCTTATTGTTAGTGGGCACCAAGTGATGCGGTATAAAGACGGGTGTGAGAGGGGAAGCATGGGGGGACAATCTTTATTGATTTCACAGTTACCATTACTTACTTCCATTGCACACTTTTAAAGGTAGATTGTTACTATTGTTCAGATGACACGTACGTCCTCATTATGAATGGGATTTTGTTGAACCCATGATTTCAGCGGTCACATGTACCAATAGATATAGCCTACAAATTAAGGCGTATTTTTGGTCGTCGCTTCTCTGCGGCTAGAATATGGAGAGAAGCGACGACGGGAAATACTTCTGCAACCATTGCCATAGTTTAAAAACAAGATTATAATGTATATCTTACAATTTTCTCAAAATCTGAAATAGTGATCAGCTGCCCGAACAAGTCTATCAGCCACTTGGCACTCAAGATGACTGTGCGACGGTGCTTGATAATTATCCCCAGGTCATGATAGAAATTCACCATGGTGGTAAACTCTTCATGGTCATCGATGAAGCACTTCTCCTTGGCATGGGTCCGTAGCTTCGTTACACTCAGGTAATAAACTGGCTTGGAAAGTAAAGCGTTGATGACCTTCTCAAAGTTCAGCCATCTAGTTCATAAAAACAAAGAGAAACGTAATAGCGCGAGTAGTAGTATCGATGTCACTGCACAATACAATGACTATAGAACAGACTACAGTAGAGAGCACACATTTCAAAACATGACGTTAAACATCACTAAACAACAGCGATCCGAGCTGTGACCATTTTGGTCGCCATAGCAAAAAAAAAATGGCGACTAAAATTGCTGCGAAAGTCGCTAAGACGTTGGGATTTTGTTTAGCAGACATGTGCAAAGTTAAAGATTTTTCATTAGTTAGTTTTTATGGTCTTTCTAAAGTAAAAATGAGATAAATATAAGCTTAAATAAGCTGACCTAAAACAGCTGGTTTAACCCTTTAAGCCCCAATATACACGTCGTAATTCTCCAAACTGATCTCTATACATTTTCTTAAGGAATGAGTTGAGAGAATCTGATAAAAGATCAAAGCATTTCCCCTCAGGCGATCATTTTATTAATTCTCATAACCTGATCTCCTGAAATTCTAAGGATATCGTTAGGAGAAAATTGATGTTGGTCACTAAAGGGTTAATAGGCCTTTTGCATTATCACGCGATCAACTTGCTGTAAGCAAGAAGACAGTTCGCTTTTTCAAATATTGTCAGCAAGAACTGAAAGAGCATAATTATTAGAATAAGTAGCGATCGCAAAGGCCGCCGAAAATTAGAAGGGAAAAGCAACTCTTGCCACCCAGTCACGTTTGAGTGGTTTTCCACATAAACCCTTGGAAATTTGGAAATTTTTAAACTGTCGTAAAATATTTCCTGAAGTATTATGGGGCTCAAATCTCCCTTTTATTCATAACAGGCGATCTCAAATGCGTAAGGGAAAGCCTTCAAGACAGTTCAAAAATGTCAAAATTTACGAGGATTTGTATGGAAAACCATTCAAGCGTGACTGGCAGCCAAGAGCTGTTTTTCTGTGATAGATGTATATGAAATAAATCATATAAGAACTGCGGAAAAGAAATTCTCGTACAAATCCTTCTTCTTCTCGGCGGCCGTTACAATCGCCCCTTTTAAGAAATACGGGTGAAAATTCACAACTTACTTAATTTTAACATGCTCTTTCAGTTCCAGCTATCACAATTGTCCAAAAGCGAACTATTTTCGTGTTTACAGAAGGTTGATCACGTGACCAACTATTGCAAAAGGCCTAGATTAGCGTTAAGTGGTCACCCTGGATTAAGGTGGCTCCAACCTCACAGAACTCTGGAAAGAGGGGCTTTTATTTTCCCTTGCTTGAACTCACTGTTTAGTATCAAGGTCGAATTATAGTCAACTTACGGATATCTCGATGATATGGAAACAGCTCAACCCCCGGCAAAAACGACTGAAACAAACTCGGCTCGCCATTGCAAACCCTCTATGTTAAGGACTCGCCTTCCCCAGCGTATACACAGTTAAGAGAACTGACTGTATCGATTTGTCCGCCTTTATATTAAAGGGACCTTTAACTGGATGTTCTGGAAAACCACATCATGAGTATGAAGTTTACTACACTTTAAATTTTTGAACGACAATGAAATCCACACAGTGCTTTTCGGCTAATTCCTAAACATCCTCGGAGACCCAGGGGCAGATAGTGGGAGCGAGGGAAAGTCTAAACGGGCGGAAAAATGTGGCACGAAGAAAAGTAAAGAACGGCGAGAAGAGCCCCTGGGGACAATGTCTTACCAGACCAGTTCCAAACGGTCGCCGCCGTTCTGGCTGCTGATTGGTGCCAGAACACTTGTGTTTTTCTGACACCAATCAGAAGCCAGAACGGCGGCGACCGTTTGGAACTGGTCTGATAAGACATTGTCCCCAGGGGCTCTTCTCGCCGTTCTTTACTTTTCTTCGTTCCATATATATTTTTCCGCCCGTTTAGACTTTCCCTCGCCCCTTTATCTGTCCCTGGGTCTCCGAGGATGATTCCTAAAAGCTAAATGAGAAAAAAAATTTTTCTGTCAAACACTCTAGGGCAGAATATCTCTTCAGGCCAGTCAAACCTGCATTACATAGTTAACTTATTTTAATCATGGCAGAAATTCATTTCTTATTACTGCCTAGACTGTTAACAGTCCCCTATTTTTCCGTGAGATCGTCGAGATATAGCGCATCTTACCGTTAATGGCGGCCATCTTGATTTTCAAATGTACCGCGGGGGCGAGCGTCGGGGATTATACCTCCGTTCCCAGCCTCCTAAGTAGATTTGACACTTATCTTATATAGCCGCCCTCAACTCTCGACGGTCTTACGGAAAAATAGGGGACTGTGAACAGTCTAATGACTGTCAGGAAATGATATTTTTTTCCACCTGAGTGAGAGACTACAATTAACTAGCCTCTAGGCCTTAAGCGGATGTTTTGGCCGGGTGTTAGGAAAACTAAGACCAAAGACCTAATACTCGCCTTAGTTTTCGAGATTACGAAGACTCTCTAAAATTGATTCCGTCGAAGTGTGAAGTCAAATTATAACTGAAGATAGGTATGATCTGTCAAATTACAGGGGCACCCAACGAGAATATAGTTCAAAACCACTTAAACATAGCATTGTTAAACGTATTTTAGTATTTAAACGGTAGATATAGGCATATTTTTATCCCCTAAAAATTTTCCATCTGTTCGGATTTCCTAGCTGAAAGTCTAGTGATCCGAAAATTATAGGGATCAAAACTTACCTTTTCGAAAATTTCAGCCAGAAAAAAGGCTCCCGAAAATTCTAGGTGACCTTTTTAGGGTAAAAATCCGTTAAAAATAGGCAATTATACCATTTTTTAGATGTTCGAAAATCCTAGGAGAGGCAGGCAAGCAAGAAATTTTACAACAAATGTTTCGAAAATTCTAGATTTCAAATCGTCTTCCGAACAGATATTCTTCCGAAAATTGTCGTTGGGTGCCCCTGAAATTATATTCTGTCCGATCCTTTCCATGGAGGTTTAGGTGAAATTTAGCGGGAGATTTAGGGGTCCGAGATTTCGTAGTTTCGTTAATTAAAAAAACAAGGACCCTGTCATATCGAGTTATGAACTGATTAACCGAGATTATAGAATTGAACAATTAACACTTAGTTTTGAAAATAGAACACATTGATTGATTGAATTACTTTGGAATGACCGAAATTTTATTACAGCATTTAAGAATAGCTTAATCAATTTCATTTCATTCTGATTGTATCCCTCGGAGTGTTATACTCAAAAAAAGGTTTCATAAAGATACGAAAGACCCCACAAAACTAATCCGTAAAATATATATGAAGTCGGATTACCACCGTTCAAAGACTATATTCTGTAAAACTACTGAAAACTATCATCCACTCGACCCGCTTCTTCTAATCTGTAGACATATAAATTCAGGCATACATAAGGATGAATACATATGTATAAATTGTACACTGAAAACATGCCTTACCCCGATTTATCGATAACTTTGGTAAAATGGGTAAAATCATTACGCTGTACATGGGTTGTTGCTGCGACCCTAATTGCGTTACCTGAATATTATCAAAATCGCTTTCGTCTATCATGGTTAAACATCACACAAAAAGGCATTCTTAAAAAAGGGCGTTTTCCCGAGAGTTTATTTTTATCGTTGCCACCCCGGAGATCACCGGAAAGCAGGAGAAAAGTTAATGGCAGTTGCGGGGTAGGGTTAGTTTCCCTCGCAGCCGTTTTTTGGATGTCACGCAACGCCCCCCCCCCCCCCCCAAAAAAAAAAAAAATTGGGGAAGCGTTGCGTGACATCCAAAAAACGGCTGTGAGGGAGACAAGGGTAGGGTGGGGGCACAGAGAAATAGTGTGAGAGAGTTACCCGCTAAAAATCTAAGGTTGTCATTTTCACTATTTAAAGTTTGATACAGTACTAATCTGCTGTCAAGTTACTACATATTTTGAAATTTTACTGAAAAGGTTCATTTGAACATAGGACCCGGAAACTTGTGCGCGCCATTTGTCAACAGAAGTCTGGTCGGGGGGCGTTAGGAGGCATTTTTGAGTGAAAGAGCCTATTTTGGACATAAATAAAAGCATATCTGTCTTGTTTTAACTTGACAGCGAATATAACTCGCTAAATGAAAGGAAAATGGTTTCAAACGTTTGACAGCGAAAGAAGGGCACTCCGCCAAAATAGTTACACGGGTATGTGCCTCTCAACGGGGCAATGATTTTGAAGCCCCTGATTTAGAAAGGGGTTATACATATTTTTTCCCTTCATGAAAGTTCAAATTGCTAGCAGCCATAAAACGCAATATAATAAAACTTGAAAAGCAAACTGTTGTGTTGCGCGTCGTAGGCCGTGGTAAGGTAATTGTCGCGTAATAACGTGTTTACCCTGCATTCGCGCTTCGCGCCCCAAACAGAAAAAGACGATTTTGTCGTATTTTGAGTCGAAGTCGAAGTTTAAGTCGAACAGACATAGAAATAACTTTGTTTCTTTTTTCAAAAAAGGGCCGGGGGGGGTTTGGAAACTTACTAAAATTCTAGAACGGGGTATCATTTTTAGGGCAAATTCTTTTTAAAACGAGGTCCAAATTTGGAGACCCGGGCAGCACATACCCACCAAAAAAATCATTACCTCGGTATCCCCCCGTGCCAGCCCCCGAAAGCGATTTTCATATGATATTCAGGCAACGCTAGCCTGAATACTGATATGTCTGGAAATTAGAGACGGATCGAGCGGATGATAGTATTCAGAAGTTTTACGAATTACAGTCTTTGAACGGTCGTAATCCGACTTCATACATATTTTACGGATTGGTTTTGTGGGAGTCCTAGTTTTCGTGATAACGAAAACTATGTATGTAGGTAGTATTTAAATGTACTCCTGTCTGTGCCGTTTGACCTTTTAACATCCTGTATAGTGTTTTTTTCACTTAAGGATTAATAAATATGTATGTACGTATGTACGTGCGAGGGGTCTTTGTTTTCGAAACTACGAAAACTAAGAACCCTAAATTTACCGCTGAATTTGACCTAAAATTCCGTGGAAAGGATCGGACAGAAGATAATTTGACAGGTTATACCTTAACTTCGGTTATAATTTGACTTCATACTTAGACGGATTCGATTTAGGGGGTCTTAGGTCTCAGATTTCGAGGGTCTTAGTTTTCCTAACACCCGGCCAAAACATCCGCTTTAAAAGGCCTAGAGGCTGGTGAATTCTAGCCCGTCACTCAGGGGGGAAAACTGTAATTTCCTAGCAGTCATAAGAAATGAACAGTATCTGGTTGATTAACATAAGGGAAACCATGTAATTCAGGTTCGACTGAATTTCACCTAAAACTACGTGGAAAGGATCGAACAGAAGATAATTTGACAGATTATACCTCAACTTCGGTTTTAACTTAATTTTATACTTCGACGGATTCGATTTTAGGGCGTCTAAGTTTTCGTATAATCTCGAAAACTAAGACGGGTCTTTTCAAGTGTTTTAGACCCTAGTTTTCGAGGGTCTTAGTTTTCGTAACACCCTCTTTGTGGCCACGCTTTAGTAAAACGTCAGAGTCAATGAGTTACTGCTGAAATTATTATTAATGTTAATGGATTGTGTTCTTGTATAAAGGCGTTATTTACCTCACAGGTATCTTCTCCCCGATGTAAGGCTCCTGTCTTAGCACTTCCATGATTTTGACCCGTAGAGCTCGGATGTCATCAATGTTTTCATCTTTTCTAAAAACATTTCTGATCTTATTTTGAAGTAACTTCGCAGTGTTGTCAATGCTAAAGATAGGCCGCACCACATGTCCTTCATAGTCCTTACCAGCAATTGCGTTCTGGATTTCTGTTTTCATTGTTGCAATGTCTTCAAATGGTTTGTCTGCATGGGTTCCTACAATGATCACTGGGGGGCGCAAATGAGGCACCTCTTTTTCTACGTCATCACAGGTTTCTCTTCTCATTTGTGCAACGCTATGCACTGTGGACAGCCACGACAACAAGTTCTCAAGATTTGTTTCTCCATTTGGGTTTTCCAAATCAACATTACGAGACCCTTGTCTCACACAGGGTTTGGCTGTGTCATGCAGTGACTTGCTGAGGTTGCACACCAGGATGTACAGCGCACGTGATGATAAGAATACAGGATGGGATGCATAATACAGGTGTTGTCCTGCAAAATCCCACAGTTCAATACTGACAACAGCTTCTTCAGCCTTAACATCTTCACCTTTTAATTCCTTTATCAACTCTACAGCTCGCTTCTTGATCTCCTCTGGAGGTGAAGTAGTATCAACCACTAACTCATGATCAGGTTCTGTTAACGTGGGTTCACTAACACTGTCTTCGTTTGGATCACCAACCTGTAGCAGAGTGCGAAAAAAAAACTGTTGATTCTGATTCTGATTCTGTGGCGCGGAATAATGGAATAAGCATATGTTTTCAACGGAATAATTTGTTCTTTTTTTCTGGAATAATGGAACAAGGAAAATTTTCGAGTTGGAATGATGAAATAATGAACACCTAATTACTCCTCTTCACCCTCCGATTCGATTATTCACCCACTTAAAGTTGTTTTTGATGACAGAAAATTCTTAATAAGCTCAAACATTAAGGCGCGATTATTGGAGGCATAAGGTATCCAAAACGTACGTTAATACGTTCTTGCATTTTTTAAGGAACAGTGAGTTTAAGAACATATAGGAAAATGGTGTTTGATTGAGTCCTCCCAGCCCCTTGGCTTTACTCCTCGGATAAAAAAAGAAAACAATAGCGAAATTGTCATTAACAACAACAACAACAAAATAAGGGAGAGCTATGTTCAAGGCCTAATTAACACTTAAAAGTATGAAAAAAGATATGGTTAAACTCACTTTAGTTTGCACACGCACTACTAACCCAAAGGCTCATCTTACGTGTAGATGGGTACAATCATTGAAATATAACTAAATGGTTGATAGTAGTATCATTCTACTCTCGGAACAAAACTTACAAGTATAAAAGCGCTGGTTTAAATTTTTAACCAGCATTGGAAAACGAGCTGGAAAACGATCTGGCAGCTGTTACTTATTTTCCATACAGAGACCGTGGAAAAGGGCAGGGAAGTCACTATAACCTAACCTATGAAGAAGACGATAATCAATTTTTAATAACTACTGTTACGACGTTTTTGCGCTAAGTAAACGATGGATTCACGAAAAAACATCACGTTTCAAAACCAACAAAGACAAACCTGGTTCACAAGAGAAACTTCCTCCTTTTCTCCATCAGTATCAACCTGTTTCCTATTCTTATTATCATCACTTTGAAGTATTGCTTCACCTCTTTCCTTCTCCTGAACCCAGGCACCGCTAACTGGAGTATAATACATCTTTTCCACTACGATCTGTGCCACATCTCTCGAACACCCCAGCAATCCTTGTTTTCTCTCATCAATAGGTTGCCAATTCCTGACTTCACCAACGTCCAACTGAAATTTTGAAGGATCCACTTCAATTCCATCAGTGCTTTTTTCTTTTGAATTAAAAGGTAGACCAATGAGAGACTTCTTCAAACTTGTTTTTCCTGCTCGATCCTGTCCAATAAGCAATACTCGACCACGGTAAACGTTAACAGCTCCATATTTAAGAGCACTTTGATAAGCGAGCTGTGCTTTTTCTCCACGTGTTTCTATTTCTAAAGGAGCTAGTGAAAAAAAGGATGCTTATTAAAAGTAAGTAATGTCTTACAGGTTGCGTTGTTCATTGGCTTCTATTTTACTTGACGGACCTAGGAGGGTCATGGACGGCTGCATCAATACTAGTATTTATTGTCCTTCTTGTAATCTTTCAGTACGGTCTCTTAAGTTATTATTAAAACAAATCTATGGTAAACATAATTTTACTGAATTTCAAATGTGACAGATAAAATTAAATGTTGGTTATTTTTGATACTGTTAAACAATCTACCTGCTATTTTAAACTTGTCTTTTTTACTGCGCTTACGTCAAGTGTCCATGCATGTTCACAACACCATGAATGGCGCGTAAAAATAAGCGCTGACTTTCTAACAAGCACCCCTATTGCCTAAGCACCCTTGTTCCAACCCGGGGGGGAGGGGTTACTTGGGTTAATTTTTGTTGGGTATGTGTCGCTGGCCTCTCAAAACCCCGACCTCATTATAGTCCATACTGTGGCGATATTATAGACCCCATCTTAGTCACTTTTCGAAAAAAGTAATTTTTGCAATCCCAACTTACTGACTTTCTGCTTATGCATCTACCTTCTAAAGCATTTTAACCAGAAGATCCTAAAATCATCTGCCACATTTTTGTTAAACTTGGTGTGGTGTAAATCTTTCTATTTATAAATCCCTACATACCAGAATTTTCTGACCCCCAAAACCCTGAAAATGTGCGACCCCGTTCCAGTAACTCTTATAAAAATGTAACCTCATTTAGTCAATCCAGTCGTTAAAATGCGGCCTAGTCCAGCGGCACATACCCATTAGCCTACTACTAGGAAGGACCCCCCACCTGGGCATTCCAAGCGCCCCAATACCAATAAGCGCTGCTATTCAATCACCAGCTATTGTTCCATCCTATCGTGACAAGGTTAACCCTAATTCACGCAACCAGAGTGAACGGCCGCGAACGCTCTCGATTGTTAAAATCAACAAACCGCCTGCAGCACCTAAGATAGTGCCATAGTGTATGGTTTTGAATGCCCGATGCCTGGCAAAACCTGATGCAGTTCCGACTCTTTATGCTGAGCTTAGTGACAATAACATTGATACCGTATTTCCTCGAATAATAGCCGGGAGCGATGACTATTTTTTTCCAACAAAAAGCAGTCGATTATTTGAGGGGGGGATTATTTCAAAAATTCCTCACTGGAGGTCGTGCCCTAAATATTTTGTTTTATTATTTCATTAAACCAAAAATTGATAACATCAAATAAACAAGACATGGGCTTTTAAGTGTTCCTCGGCACTCGAGCTTGAATTGTCACTAATCAGTTTTGCTGGATCAGGCTCCACTGCAACTTGACAGGGAGGGGATAAAAGAAAGAGAAGATGGCGAGAGGGGTGGGGGTGGGCGATTATTGGAGGCAGGCGATTATTTTAAACATTTCGGTCTAAGGAGGCGATTATTCGAGGGACGCCTTTTATTCGAGGACTGTTTTGTTTCGGAGTCATGGTTGAGTATCATAATCTTGTCACATTCGAATTGCCCAGAGGGTTATGTTATGGTGAGGAAAGATCGAGCTGGCTCGCCGATCGGTGGTGGTGTTGCTATTATTTGTCGGAATGATTGGAAGGGTAAAGCGCTGAATGTCACTGATAGCTTGGAATTTGAGTCTTAGTTGGAGACCATGTCGCTTTGTAGACATGATCACCTCGTATAGCAGACGAGAATTCGCCTTCATGAACAAGCTTCGACCTCCAAATCAAGGGATTGCCAGAAGGAGCCATGATCGTAGACCTTTGCTAATTCCTGCTCATAAGGTGTCCTGCCCCTGTTTCATGGTTCGAGAGTTTTGCTTCGCAACATAAAAGAAATAGACGCCCCGTTTCGAATAAGCGCCCTCATTTGAGAAACCATAAGTATATAAGGGCTCTGGGGTCCGTTTCTCGAAAGTCCCGATAATTAACGAACCCGGTAAGCTGTCCGCGTTTACATTAAAGATCGATGTTTCAATAGTTTTGCATGTAACATGATAAAACTATCAGTTAATGAAGCAAAATGGAGTAGTTTGCTAGTCAGGACCTGCGCTCTTATTCTTTGTATTTCAATTTGAATATTTGACAATTCACTTACACTATGGCCGTGCATGCTGCAGGGAAAACAACAAAAACTGACTTGCAAAACAAACCTAAGTGAAGCTAAGTGTGACTTTTAATTTTGTTAAATGGTATAGCAAATTTCAGACCAGTTATTGTTTAGATCACGAGAAGTACTTTCTCAGGCTTAAACACAGCAAACCAAGCCACCTTTTCTAATTTGAATCTTGAACAGCTCAAAACTCTTCATCCTTAATGGTCTGTTTATTGTTCTGTGACAATATTTTTTTATTTAATACATATCGTGTTCAGCGGCCAATCTTCCATAATTATAACATGACAATATTACTTCATCCATTAAGTGAAAAATGGCTTTAAGACTCTGCGGTTGTGTTTTCACTGAGTTAATTTTAGCTAGATAAAGCCAGAAAAGTCCAGAAATACAGTTAAAACACCTCGTCTTGTGTTAGCGAGTTAAACATGCTCACTGTTTTTTCGGCTTTATGACCGAAAAATTACGAAAAGTTAGACAACCACGCGAGATGGTGCAACTTGTCCTCATAAATCAGAATCGCGTTGCGCGTTGTGACAGACGCCTGCCAAATGACCGGCGAAATGAACATTTTATATTACTAGAGGCTGTAGTGAAGGGCTACCACCAGAGCCCATTTACAATAAGGATGGGTGAATCTTTTGTCCTCGATGAATAAATCGAAAATTAATAGGTAAGACTTTTAATTACTAATTCGTAGCCAGTGGTAGCGCAAACGTATCTTAAATCATTATTAAAGGATTACAATTGACAATCGATAAAATGGATGACATTTGTAAAAATTGATACTCACAATTTTTTCGATCTTCGATATTTATCGATTACCGATATCAATCGCTTAATTAATATCGTTTAAAATCGAATAGAAGCCATTATTTCGACTAAAGAGTTTCATCGATTTGGCACCGCGGGTTAAACCCACGCTACTTACGGCAATTATTGCTGTTTTGCTGTTACATTTTGAAACAGGATTACAACATTACTTCCTATCCTCTTACTCTTTAGAGACACTATTCAACTGCATTCATAAAATAGCGAGAAGCATTAAACGAAAACACATTCAAAGCGCTTCGTCCCTTAACATTTTTTAATGTGGCGCGCTTTTTAAATTTGAATCCTCTGAGTTCTTCCGAGCTAAATTTAAAAGTGAAAACAGCTAGTAATCGTCGGTATGTCAACAATCACCAAGAAAAAGTGTTCCGCTCAGCAGCAGCAAATCGACCACAGTGAAAACATAGCCTCCCCCGCAGGCGTTTCTAGGGGAGCTCGTATTTCTTCCCTCTCCGAAGAAATACTAGCCTGCGAACAGCAGACGTATTTCCGGTCGTCGCTTCTGTCCCTCCGAAAAATAAAGAAGCGACGACCGGAAGGACGTTAGTTGCTGTTCAGATAGTGGGGAGCTTTCTTTAGGCGCACCGCTCCCACTATCTGAACGCTTTTTACCTCTCTCCTGGTCCCCCTTTACTTTTCATCGCTTTCTTTTCCCGCACGTCGCTTCTCCCCTATCGAAAAATTGAACAGGACTAGAAATACGTCTGCTGTTCGCAGGCAACCCTCGCAGGCGTTTTTAGGGGTCAGCTCGTATTTCTTTAGTCTGCGAACAGCAGACGTATTTCCGGTCATTGCTTCTCTCCCTCTGAAAGTTCGTGAAAACACTAACCGTATGGCCTGCATAGCAGGCGCTTGGAAGTGGTGGGCACAAGAAAAAACGGGCCCGCGAGAAGGAAACACGCGAGCCCGTTCTCTCTTTCGCCCACTACTTCCAAGCGCAACCGGTGAGTCATTTAGTAAGGGTGTGATGGAATACAATAGCTTACAATGTTTGGTGCACCCTGGATAATAGCTATTTTTCACAGCTGATTTGAAATTTTAAAACAGACGAATTAATTAAAATGAATTAACACGTACAAGAAATTTACCATTGATTTTGAAAGTACAGTTTGTAGCATATCTTAATGATTTATCAAACCCTTAAATTCGCGAAACCCCCGATAACTGAAAAAAAAAAATGACTTCCCTTTCCCAGGCAAATAGTGGAATTTTATCTCGGTTTTTTTCGCACTTCTAAATAACCATAATATCCGCCGTGCTTACCTGTAACACCATATACAAGTACTCCTTTCTTTCTTAACTTGAATGCACGTCTTATTGCGTCAACAGTTAAAGGATTATGACTCACACTCAGCGTCCTCAGCTCCCTGAGGTCACTAATCTCAGCAGGTAGTTCAGTTAGTTTATTTCCAACCAGGTACAGCACTGCAAGCTTGGTCAGCCTCTGTATACTGGTAGGTAAACCAACCAACTGGTTGTTACTCACCCACAACACCCTCAGCTCCCTGAGGTCACCAATTTCAGCAGGTAGTTCAGTTAGTTTATTTCCAACCAGGTACAGCCCTTTAAGCTTGGTCAGCCTCTGTATACTGGTAGGTAAACCAACCAACTGGTTGTTACTCACCAGCAGCCAACTCAGCTCCCTGAGGTCACCAATCTCAGCAGGTAGTTCAGTTAGTTCATTTCCATCCAAGTACAGCCTTTCAAGCTTGGTCAGCCTCTGTACACTGGTAGGTAAACCAACCAACTGGTTGTTACTCACCCACAGGCCCCTCAGCTCCCTGAGGTCACCAATTTCAGCAGGTAGTTCAGTTAGTTTATTTCCACTCAAGTACAGCCTTTCAAGCTTGGTCAGCCTCTGTATACTGGTAGGTAAACCAACCAACTGGTTGTTACTCACCAGCAGCCACCTCAGCTCCCTGAGGTCACCAATCTCAGCAGGTAGTTCAGTTAGTTTATTTCCACTCAAGTACAGCTCTTTAAGCTTGGTCAGCCTCTGTATACTGGTAGGTAAACCAACCAACTGGTTGTAATTCACCAGTCAGCCA